TTTCAAAACACAAAATGCTTTGTTTTGAACGGTGTATTTTTAAAATGCTTTTTTGAGCATATAGTGTTTTAACTTGAAACAGTTTGCATATCTCTGTTTGAAACAAACAATAAGAGAAAATTCCCCAAATCAGAAATTATTGTCCAAAGTAGAAAGCTGTCTTTCAGTTTTAATTTCCTTTGCATTTATTGGAATTGAAAAGATTTAACATTTTTTGCCTCTGAACAACTACAATAAGAGGGAAGATTTTAGCAGATGAGAAGGCTATTGAGAGTTTGTTTCTTCAGCTCAGGATTTACTCAGGCTGTCAAACTCATGGCCCATGGGCCATGTCCATGCCCAGTTTAGCGAAGGGGGGGAAGTCCCAATACATCACATGATGCCGCCTTGATGACATGTGTTTGACACCCCTGGTTTTACAGTATGTAAATGCTAACTGCAGTAGCTAACTTTGCTTCTGGTGCTGCTGGCACTTTGTCACTTTAGTTAAGGCTCAGGATGTTACAGTCTTTAGCAAATGAGGGAAGTGGGTTTTAATTACTCATTTTCTGCTATCTTTTTATAAAGTTTAGAAAACATCCACTTGGAGAAGCTTCAGCAGAAATATATAAGTCAATCTGCATGTTTCCTGGTGGTAGTTTGTAATGCAGTTTCAGGCACTTTAGCTTAGTCCCTTCTGAAGATACAACACTGGTTGTGGCAGGCAGATTTGAGGGAATTATTTGAAATATCACATTAGCATCCCTTAACTATATGCCATTAAAAATTACATCCAAGTTCAGAAAGAGAATGGTTTTTTTTAGTAAGGCTGAGCTAAAATGCCCCTCCCCAATAACCAAAAAACATTTGTGAAAGATGAAATCATATCCTTGAAAGCAGAACAATCTTCAGATTGTGAAAATGCATGTTGTGAGGCAGAAAGAATTCTATTCATGAGCTTTAAAATAGCAGCCTGAAGACTGATGTTTTATACATATCCTAATTGCAGATTTCCGTTTGAATTGCTTATGGTAAGAGTATGCCATCTGGTGTTCTTCTGAATATAGAGATTAGTGATATGAGTAGCTGTAATAAATATAATATAGATTGGGGTATTCAGTATTTCTTGTTTTCATGTCTTTCAAGTAAGACAGTAAGCAGGGCATAGAGTTTTTTTGGCAGAAATTAGGTCCAATGGTTTTCTGATGCTAAGAAATAAATACGTTTTATAATCATATGTTTGAAATGTGTACCACAAAATACCCATACTGGAAAGATTCCTGAGAATAACAGCTTCTCATAGCTATGAAATTGTTTCTTAAATTACTTCTTTTAATGAAGTATATACAGGTTTAAACTACTTTACTCAATCCTAGGTGTGGGGTGGTATCCATTAAAAAGTGCTGCGTTAAATTAGACCAAAGCTCTTTGTCACACAACATTGTATCTCCTGCTGCTTAAACAATGCAGGAAACAATAAGGAAAGCTCACATAATATGATTGCCATAGTATTTTCTGCTTCCATCCTGCAACAGCTGTCACTCAAAGGGTACACTACTATTGACCGTAGAATATGTTCCATCTGAGACTAGATTTTTCTGGATACAAGTAACAATAGCAAATATTCCTTGCCAAACTAAATATAGTCATGATCCCTCTGTTTCTTTTTATGTCTTAGACTCATTCATATAAAGGATGGACAGACAGACAGACACTTACTCATTCACTCACTCTCTTCATTCTGGAAAAAAGTATATATTAGTAGTTTAGTCCTGAAAAAAAAAATCAATCCTTCTTTATCATCTTTTTAGGAATATATTTATGGCTGTAAAGTATCTGAGTAATAATTCATTCAATCATTCTGTCTCCATCCTTTTCTCTCTAATACCCCATTTTTTGTTTCCACAATTGCCATATTCTTCCATTTCCAATCTTCATTTTTGGGATTGTTTATAATTAATTTTTGTATCTATAATATGTATATTCCATTTTTCCTCTTGGAGCAAAAAGTAACACATCTAATGGAGAATGTCCACTCATTTTATGGCCACAGCAATAACTAATTAGCTAACTTCTGCTGAAAGGTAATGACTGATGCCATGTCACCGTTGGATGGAATGTGAACTTGATCTCCTATCTCATTTTAAACACTACTACATAATATCTCTAAGTTGTAAAAGTTTATGCAGTAAGTTGTACCATTAACTTAAAAATCAGTTAACAACATAGCAAAATAACCATGTGAGAAAGAGCTGCTCATGCATATCTAGCCCTTTCTAGTTACTTTGTTTACCATCCCCGGCTGTTGTGCAATATTGCAGAAAAGTGATTGCCCAACCTGATTAACTAGATCTGTGGCCTATTGTATAACTTACCAGTTCAGATATCTGGTAAGAGCCATGCTTCTACAAACTGGTCTGGTTGTATCTACAAGCTCCTTCCATAAGTGAATGTGGTTCCATCCATACTTGGTTTAGGATGTCATATGGGCCAGCCAGAGAAGTGTGCTTAACATGTTAAATAATCTATAGGCAGAATTTTCTGTAGTTTCTTAGCTATGCCCATGTGTGAAAGATGACCCAGTGGGCATTATTATAGCAGCAGGCATGTAATACCACTTTTTGTGTGAGGGTGGAGGTTCATTTTCTGAGCTTGTGGGTTGATTTCTAAAATTTTGTTACCAGGCTAGGTAACATTTTCAGCAGAGTTTAGGTGATGTCAGTGTCAGTGTTCCTCTTTTGTAAAGGCAGTGTGGTTAGTAGATTTTGTGATGGGGAGTCACGTCAGGTGAGGGTTTTGTCTAAACCTCAAATGGACTCAGTTTTCAGCTATAATACTTAAAATAATGTGATATTCTGTATGAAAATAGCAACTTCTACAGTATAGCATATCATTGGAACAACGAATATCAGTAACATGCTGGCATTTCCTAATCCTTCTGTGGCAATTAACACCACAAATAAAGGATTTGTTAAAGTATTTGATTTAGTTATATGCAGTCTCTTTTATGGTGAAATGGGCCTAGAAGCAAACAGTATATAAATAATACTTGCATGCAGTCAGTTTTCTGTCAAAGATTTTTGCCTCTTGATCAGGGTTCTGGGCATTTTTAAAGGTTCCATACCTGAAAATGTTTGAAAACCTCTACTTTAGATAAAATTATCATTAATCAACTCTAATACAGATTGCATTGTTCTTTGTCTCTGCTCATTATCTGGAATAAATTTGTTATAGAGGCAGGGTACACATATTGGGTTAAGCCGGGGTATTATTTTATTATTTGAACATACAAGTTGAGTAATAACTTTACTGATCCTGACTGAAATTTTCTTCAGAGAGAAATAGAAATTATATGAAATATACGCATATGCTATGTGTTTCTATCAACATAGTAAGTGAATAATTTTAATAATTCTTCATCCATTGTAAACCACCCATTGCCATATATGTGAAATGGGAAGATATAAATGGATTGAATAAATCAAATTCCATCAAAATTAATTGAATAAATGAATAAATCAAATTTATATAGCTATCTATTTCATAAGAATTGAGTTAGTAGAACTGTTGTCTTTTGTTTGTTTGTATATTTGTTTGTTATGATTTGGCTTCGGTGGTTAAAAATAAGTTAAGCAACCCAGAAAAGCAGGAATACTGCTTTTTGTTATATTTCTGATACTTATTTACTACAGAATTTATTTAGATTGCATTTTCCCCATAGTTTGATCACCTGTTAAAATAAAGCATATACTATTTGTGTTTTAAAAGCAATTAAGTATAAAAAAATTCCTCCCAGAAGGCATACATTTGTCCTCATCTCTCTTATTTCTAAAAATGTGGGTATACTTACACATATACAGTTCTACAGTTTTTTAAAATGCATTATTCTCTTGCTCATTATGAAATTATATGAACTATGCAAGTTTCTAATGTTTTAATAGAGTATTGAAGAAGAATTTTGTAGATTTTTCAGGAGGACTTGGTCCTCTCCAGTAGTGAAAACTTGAATAAACAAGGATCAATACTAAACATTCAGGCAGAAATCAATATTCCAATCAAGGTATCATCAAAGAGGAAATTGCATTCCATCAAAACTGGCAAGTCAAACTACTATACACAAACAGGCAGCAAACCCTGTACTCACTTGTACCAAGCTCCAAGAGCCTCAATAACTTTGTAATTCAGTCCTGAGCTATATATATATATATATATATTCCCTTATATTGGAATTCTTATTTTACCCAAACCATTGGTTCATTTTGTTAATTCCTACTGCTGATGGGATCCTGAAGAAGAGCCTCTCTTCTGTAGCGTTTATTCTCTGGAACATCCTGCCCCCAGGGGTGAGATTTGCTCCCACCTTACCCCTGGTGGGCAGGATGTTCCAGAGGCTTGATGCTACAGCAGAGAAGGCTCTTCTTCTAGTTCCCATCAGCCAAGAGTTCCTTAAATGACTGGATCCATAGCCAGCCTCCTCTGCCAGCATGAGTAGGGTGGGCTTGTCTTAACCAGATGAGATGACTCATCAAGTAACCTGGACATGAACCCTGCCATGGAAAACTTTAAAGGTCATAACCAACACCTTGAACTGCACCCATAAGCAAACCATCAGCCAGTGCAGCTCATGAGACAGTGCTGTAGCATGGGTCATTCTATGGGCCCCAAAGACTAATGCATTTCAAGGGTAGCTCCATGCAATAATCCAAATGAGAGATGACTAGGGCTTGAGTGACTGAGTGCATAGAGTTGTCCAAAGTTGTCCAAAGGCTCTCCTAGCCATGACCATCACTTTCTAGATTTCCTGTGGAAGAGGCAAAATTGCTTCAGTGCTGTTCTTTCTCTTTTGGTATTTTTCTCAATATGATAACACTATATCATCTTATGCCTCCCCCCCTCCCCAATTTCACATGCTTGGAAAAAAAATTGCATTGTTAAACAGAGGGATGGTATCGATGATGGTAATAACAGTGTATTAACAAATATTCACTGAGCTGCTTTTTTCTTCTCCCTGGGATTTTCAGTGACTACAGGGTGACTATGCTGGTTCCTCCTTCATTCACAAAGTCTACATCCATGGATACAGACTTTCCCAATAAAGCTTCTTGTGACAGAAGAATGTGCTTCTACTGGATTACATGCTCTGCATGCTATGTAAGCATATCTTGATCTCAGTTATTTTTCTTTCTTTTGTCTAAAGCTGCATGGTTTTCTGTTCCACAACTTAAGATAGAATTTTCATAATCTTGTTCATGGAGACTGACGGTGAAAGATTAGTTATCTAACTTAACCCTTTTTACTGTGTTCATAATTGTAGGTCTTCTCATATACAAAATATGAATGATTTATTCCTTTTAATTGTGTGTTCCTTTCATTTAACATTTACCTTGCTTTTACAAGTAATTCTCACTTACCAATTACCTCATATAGTGCCCATTTGAAGTTACAATGTTGCTGTTCTCAGTCATGTTATCTCTATTACACTCATCAATATGCATTGTCCTGTGCCTGACTTGTTTTTCTCTTTTCCCTCCTTGCAGAGCAGAGGGATTGGAAAGGAAGGGATTACAAGAAAGTAAGCAGGCATACAGTGGAGAATACACATAAAAAGTAATGTGTACCATGCCAGCAGTCCAATCTCTCCATTCTGCAAGAATGTGAGAGGGGAACAAGCAATTTCTGCAGACGGTCCCTTCTGTGTCTGATTTGTTTCTTTTCCCCCTCCCCCTTCACAATGAATGTAAATACAAACAGTAAATCCCTTGTTAATTATACCAGCACTGGTGTGTGCGTTCCAAAATGTATTGGATTGGTTAGGAAGCAAACAAAAGCCATGGGTATGAAACTGATTAATCTTACCAGTTTTAAGCTGAAAAGCACAGTTGCAGTCATGTGATTTCACACTTAGCAACTGCTTTGCTTAATAATTGTTGCTGGTCCCAACTGTGGTCATTAAACAAGGAGTACCTGTATAAGAAAATCAGATACTTCTTCATAATCATTTGCATATGGAATTATTCTTATTCTTGACTAGTGGAAGTACTAGCTTGGGCATAAGTAGATCCAAAAGTTAGTCACATAGAGCAGGGGTCCCCAACCACCGGTCCGTGGACCGGTACCGGGCCGCGGAACAAGTCCTACCGGGCCGCTGGCTTGCTGGGAGCCGCCATCTTTTTTTGACGAAAAAGTGCTTCCGGTGAGCTTTTCCGGGTAGAAAGCTCACCGGAAGCACGTTTTCATCAAAAAAAGATGGTGGCGCCAGTGCTTCCGGTGAGCTTTTCCGGGTAGAAAGCTCACCGGAAGCACGTTTTCATCAAAAAAAGATGGCGGCGCCAGCGCTTCCGGTGAGCTTTTCCGGGTAGAAAGCTCACCGGAAGCACTTTTTCATCAAAAAAAGATGGCGGCGCCCAGCTGATGCCGGTACCGGGCCGCGGCGTAAAAAAGGTTGGGGATCACTGACATAGAGAACACAATTTCTGTAAGGAGGAAAGAATATTCTATATCAGTTTAGCTGTTAAAATGAATTATTCTTGGCTCTTTTAATCACCATGTGTTGTCACTGCTACAAATGGTGTGTGATGTCAAAATGCAAGACAAGTGAAATATTACAACTACTTATTTCTAGTAATTATCAATAAAAAAGAATACCTTGTATGCTTGTAAAGCAAGGAGCACTAAAAATCAACATCTTGATTTTTAGCGTAATAGAAAGGGGAAAAAGTTAATATATGCTATCTTCCTTGGTGGGAATTGGAGCAATAAAGTTTAAAGACAGAAAAGAAAGAACTTCTGGGAGATTTGCCGGTTGAGAGACTCTTTTGAAATTGGGTATATGGTGAAGCTGTACTGGCTTCTTGCTCTCATTTGAGATATGTAAGAATGGTGGGGCTGAATGTTTGATATCTTCAGAGCTGCTGTTCCTTAATGTCAAGTCAGCCTCCAACAAAGCGTACCTCATCCATAATCTGATCATGGACAAGGGGGGCAGCTTGGGGCATATGGGATTTGATTTGATGCAGAGGGGGAGATCTTTCTCAAAAATGTATCCTTTTGAGTTTTAAGTGTTGTATCAGCTGCAATTCCAGGGCAGAGGTGGGTGTGGCTGCTGTTATCTGAAAATGTTTGGTGGCCAGACACAGCCAAATGGGAGAGCCTTTTTGTGGAATTGGACTATAGGGATCATTTGCTTGCCTTCCTCCAAACCTAGCAGCGGCTCTGTTTGAGCTCCTTGACTCTGTGGCTAAGTTGCCATTGGACCTAACCAGACTTAATGGTGTTTGAGGATTTCCATCTCATTCTTTTGCCCCATGAATTGGAAGTTCATGGCCACCATGGCAACCATTGACTTGATCCATTGAACTTATTGATGGCCTACATCATAATCACACATTGGGCTTGGCTTTTGTCTCAGGGCAGTGGAAAAGTAAGTTAAGACTAGTAGATGTTACATTAGTTCCTTGCCATTGACAATTTACTCTCTTTTGTGTCTGGAGTTTATAGCCAAATCTTACTGCAGGGCTGCCTACTCAGTCAGCCTGCCCCAGGTAATTGATGGACCTTGTAGAGATGTTCAGAGAGCATTTTGGATTTTTCCTGAAGATCCACAATTCAACTGAGATGTTAGTCATAGCTTAGAAATGAACACATGATGAGAGATTTGGATCCATTAGCACCCATGCAGATTTTCTGTGATCATGGATTCCATAGAGTCCTTGTAGCAATGCAAGTGATGCCTAGAGTAATGCCAGAGAAAGACAAAGAATAAAACCAACTAGACACAGATAAGAACTTATTAGAAGTTGTAACTTGTAAGAGCAGCAAAGCATTCTCACTTCTGTGCTCTTATTGGATACAATAAGAGCATCCATAGAAAGCCAGCCAATGGTTCTTTGTCAAGTGACTTGGGCTCTCCTAGGTAAGGTGAGACGGGGTGAGCTATTGCAGGATTGCTATGAGAATTATTCTAGTGATCATTTGAACAACTTAGTTTGAAGTTAAATCTGGTTGGTTGGGTCCTGTGGAAATTGCTGGGGCACGTTTAGTTATCTGAAAGGAGGAAAATATGAACCCCTTATGGACTTTTGTGTAAAAAAAGAAAATAACTTCATGACTTATGGTTGTGATGATTAAAAAGAATAGGTTATAGAAAGAAAGGAAGTATGATATAATCTTAGAGAAGTTTGATTAGAATTTCATCTCTTAACTGCCAAATCATAAACCAATTTCTTAATATTTCTTTTCCTATTTTGTCTTTTTATTTTTTTCTATTTTTTTATTGTTTATTTTCTTTTTTCCTTTCCTTTCTTTTTTCCCCTTTCCACATTTGCTATATATTTTTTCTTTGAACGTAGTTATACATGAAAAATCTTTTAATAAAAACCATTTTTAAAAAAGGAAGGAAGGAATATGAGTGAATATAAATGGTTTGAGACATTCCATGCATAGCTAAAGTTTAACTATATATCATTTATTGTTACTATAAAAAGGGAAACATAATGATTTACTGAGGTTATTTTAAGTTCTCAGACATGATTTGTATATTCAGTGAATGGAAGTCTTTGTGAAATCAAAAGGAATATATGCATTAGTTAAAAATTGTACCTCCTCTAGCAATAGTTTGCATTTTTATAGGTAAGCACAACTCATAGCTGAAAAATGGGACATTTTATCTACTGTAGGGGAAGGAGTGGCAGAATCCGGGGGTGGAGTCAAAAGACGAATCTGCCTAAAATCTCTACATAGCCACAAATGGACTGTGACCCCTCTTGAATTCCGTTGACTCTTATCTTAGGTCAAGATAGCATTAATGGTTAATGGAGTAAATTGATGTGCATAAGCACATTTAGTAATAAATCAGTTTAATTGGGACTTCACATGTGGTCCTGGTCTTTCATACGTAACATTCACTGACAAATTGTATCCTGTACAACAATAAGATGATATATGATATTGTTGGATTTGTGGATTAGATTCAGACTCCATCAGAATCCAAAATGCAGTTAATTAAGTTTGGGACTTGTTACTAGTTAAATAGATACAGGTAGTGGTCTATAAGTTAGTGCTTTGGACAGTGTGTAGTTGCAATTACAATGGTGATGAAAAAGTAAATTTGTGACTAATGCCCACATTTGCTATCTTGGCCATGTCTCACTCTCAATTACGAGTTCACCATTACTCTCAGTTAGTACATGTTGTCCTATGCCTGACCTGTTTTTGTCTTTTTTTTCCTCTCTTCCTTTTCTTGAGATATTTTTTTCCCTACAGAACAGTACATCGCTAAAAAGTGCTAACCACAAGGTAACAAGCTGTGCTCTGTGACCTTAATTAGTTGATTAGAACCCTGCACCAGCTACAACTGCTACCTTTAACTGACAAGACCCTAATCAGTTTCAGACTAAAGGCTTTTTTTGCCTCCTAAGCAGTGGGCATGCTGGAGGTTCGCAGGGGTTCAGTCTAGCTAAGATTCTGTGCAGTTTGGAGAACCTCCGAATTTCACTCCTGGCTGGCCCCGCCCATCCTACCCCACCCTCCCAGGAGCCCCCACACATCCTGTTTGGATGCAGGTAAGTGCAGGGCACGCACAGAGGCTCGGGCAGGGTGAAAAACGGGCCTCCCGGAAGTTCAGGAAGGCCAGAAATCGGCCCATTCCTGGCTTCCAGAGAGCTTCCAGAGCCCGGGGAGGCCATTTTTGCCCTCCCAGAGGCTCAAGGAAAGCCTCCAGAGCCCAGGGAGGGCAAAAATGCTCCCCCCTGCCATGGTGCAGGAGGCCGACTAGGCCACGCCCACAAGGGCCACGCCCATCCAACAACCAACAGAGAACCCATTGCTAAAATTTTTAAAGCCCACCCCTGTTCCTAAGTAGCTTGCGAATACAGCCTCTGTGTGTTAGGCAAAGAGCTGATGCTAACATATCCCTTTCTATGTATTTTTACCTTTGTATGCTTGCTTATTCTCTTGTAGTCCCTTCCTCTCCAATGAATATAAATACAAAATCAATTCTTGTCTTTCTAATTAATCTTTGGGTGATCATTCCCAAAGTGCAGGGAAATGGAAGAAAAGGACTATACAATTTTTATCCAGACTTCTTTGTGAATTAAGTCCCAGAAATCTTCCCCACTATTTGCACTCCCTCAGCTGTTTAGGTCCATATCTTTTTGACATTGCAAAGCAAAGCAAAGCTGAAGTATAATCATTAGCACAGTCATGTCATGTGATTTTTTTTGCTTAGCAATTGTTTCTCTTAACTACCAAGTTGCCAGTCCCAATTGTAGTTGATAAAGGACTACATGTATTATGTTGGTTGAATGTGTCACATCACTTTTTGAAATGAGTAACTAAAATGGGGTGATTTTACTAATTCAAGGGTTTTGGATAAATGTTTATTTCCTTTATTTTCTTGTAGATAACCTTTGCAAAGAAAAGGTGTTTGGCATAGTGCTTAAGCCATCAGGCTAGAAATCTGGAGACTGAGTTCTAGTCCTATTTAGGCATAAAGCCAGCTGGGAGACCTTGATCAACACTAACTAAAGGAACAAAAAAGACCCCACTCTTTATGTAAGAGATCAAATCTTTTTGGTACAGTTTGGAAATGATCAAGATGCTATATTAGATATAGTTAAAACTATCTCCCTGATCTGCATTACCAAAGCAAACTTAAGAAGGTTAGATAAATAGATTTCTTATAGAGAATCAAGTAATACATTCAAGAACTTATCCAGGAATCATGTGCTTACTGTATGTTAGTCACACAGTTTGAAACCTAGGTTTCTTTCTTCATTTTTGAGTCAATGTCCATATGGGTTCCTGTGTTGAAAGTTTTTGCTGTCCATCCTTTGCTTACAAAATCTCTTTTTCTGGAATATGAACCAAAAGTACAGACTTGACCAACTTCAACCCTATAGGAACACATGACAGTAAAGATATGAAATTGGAAAGTAATGAATCTATTTTTATGAAGAAAGTTCAGATTAAAACGAAGAGAGAAACAGTAATGGCACTTTGGGATTCTGATGCAGCTTCATACTTAGAGCTCATGGTGGAAGATTACAGATCCAGTGATGGTACTTAAAATGGAATTTGCATTTAATATAAAACAATAACTTTTGATAATATTAGAAGTATACATTGTGAATGATCAAAACAGTGTTTTGTAAAAGAAGTCCTAGTTATAATGCATAATAGAAACTAGATGATTTAGGTTTTGTCCTTGCTTAAGAAAACAATGCTTGTTTAATACTTGAAAAAACAATGGAGGCAAATAGGGATTAGAACTAAGATGCATTGAAGCAGTACTGAGAGTGCTACTGGTAGCTTCACGCTTAAACTGCTAGAAATTTAAAATATAGGAAAAGGCAATTGATATCTTAAAATTTGCAATAACTTTGTTCCTTGTTGAGGCTTACTATAGATTATTAACTGTTATCAGATTTTCAGCCATAGTTGCACAACTTGCTTTGCATTTGTGTAGGTAGTTTATATTCCTCTAGCTGTTGTACAAATAGTAAGCAAGGAATGACTAAAAATCACAGTTGCCATTTGTTTAAAGATATTAAAAATAGATCCACTAAATACTGAAACCGAATAGATATCTTTGCTAGCTTTGTGTAGACTGCATAGAAAACAATGTATTATATCAGTCCAAGAAAATGGACAAAAAGTGAAAGAAACAGGAATGAAAGTAGAATGACTGTAGGATGAAAAACTTTCAGAATGAATGAAGGTTGAAGAAAGAGGATGTGGTAGGGATAGAATAACATAGCAGAGCAGAGCACAGCATAGAATATTCTTCATTGGCCAATTGTGATTGGACACACAAGAAATTTGTCTCTGGTGCATAAAGTCTCAGTGTACATACAAGGAACAAAATTGTTTTTCTAATGTTAGATTTGTTCGAAAGTACATAGAAGTGTATAAGGGAAGATTTTTATGTCATCCACCAAGGCAAAAAAATTGAAGATGTATCCTATTTTATATCTCAGATAAATCTGACCTTTTAGTGGCCATAAGAAATTATGTTTATACCTGCTCCCAAACCCATTCTAAATCCAGGGAATGTATACATGGCATAAACTGGAGGTGTGCCAATGACTTCCAATTTGTCTGAACTATACATTGGAATTTCAATAATTGGCCTCTTGTGAAAATCTAGAAAATTGGTGGCTAGATAGTGTATCTTTTGCCTTGCTCTGAATGTACTATCTGATCCCTAGGGGGATCATGACCTTTCAGAGGAATAGTAACATGAGCAAACCTCAAAGTAGCAATAGCTGCATGTAGATAATTAAATTAGCTTTTCCACATTTATTGACATTACAAGATACACAATTTGCACCTGCAGATGTGCTGCACAATCTGCAGAGTGCTCTAGGCTGAAGATGTTAACGCCAGTAGCTACTTTCTGTAGGCTCCCTTTTTCTGGTGATCAGGTTGAAATGAACCATGAAATATTTTTGTCTGGACAGATAACACAACAGTGTCCAGTGAAATAACATATGTGTAATCCTTTTCATTTATGTTTCATTATATTGATTTATTTATTGGTTATAAGAAATAAAATATAGTCTATATAGCCTAAGTTAATTCCTATGACTTAAGGCAGGGATGTCAAACTCTATTTCATTGAGGGCTGCATCAGGATTGTGTTTGATCTTGAAGGGCCAGGGGCAGGCATAGCTAGGGTGGGCATGGCCAGCTCAACATCATTCGTGTCAGGAGCGCCTGTGATGGCCCAAGTGCTTGAGCAAAAATGGGCTCCCAAGCTCCATTTTTGGCTGTGACGGCCTCCTACAACTCTCTGCCAGTGAAAACGGAGCTCTAGAGGACTGCCCGCAGCCCTCACAAGCTCTGTTTTCAACGGTGATGGCCTCCTGCAACTCTCTGCCAGCGAAAATGGAGCTCGGGAGAGCTGCATGCAGTCTTCGTGAGCTCCATTTTCGGCTGCAACAGCCTCCTGCAACCGTCTGCCAGCAAAAACGGAGCTAGTCCTTTGCTGTTTCTAGGGTGGCCCTGCAGGCCAGATCTGGCCCTCGGGTCTTGAGTTTGACACCCCTGACTTAAGGGAATTTCCTCTAGAATCGGGAATACAGTTCTGTTAGGCTCTGCCTTCTTATTTGAACAGGAGTTTTTTTTTTTTTCAGCTTTATCATCTAGTAATCAGAAAAATGCTTAATGGAAAGATCAGATACCTATCCCCCAGAGTTTTAAGGAATAACAGAAATGATATTATAAAGCTGCAAACAATTTTTATGCAATTATACATTGTACAAAGTAGAGGTTGTGGCAATTTTTGTACATCTCCCCTTGTATTGATAACTGCGTGAGTTTGTAGATTACTGTAGATATTAATTCACTTTGTTACAACCCTAGATCTAATATAATTTTCATATTGTATTAAATCAAGCCAATCAAATGAAAGTGTGATTGTATGTGTATGTGTGTGTGTTTCTGTCTTTCCTTGTGTCTATAAATGGTGATAACAATGTGAGTTGTTGTTTTTTAAAAAGAAAGAAACCAAAACAAAGTAAATTATTAATAGTCCCATTCCTTTCTTTTTTTACAGAAACCAAAGCCCCAAAACAAAACCTAATTCAAACACTGAATTTCAAAATAGGTGAATATAACCAACAAATTTTTTTTGTTGATTTATATTTTGCGGATCTCCAAAAGCAAGGAGATGCACCCAACATCTACTAAATGTTCTCTGAAAGATCATATATATTAAAACCCACATTTTCTGTAACGTTAGCATATTTTAAAATAAAAAGAAACCAAGTTTACGCTTGTGATGTAAGGTTCCATTTTCATGACCCACTCATTATTCTAGAAGTAACATAAATAGTATTAATTTAACTTAAATATTCTAACTTCTGATAAAAATGAGCTGCAACTGATTCTTCGAAGACTTAACAAACATAGAATTTTAAAAGCAATGAGTCTAGACATTATATTTTGTAGTAAATTTGTAGCAACAATATTGATTTTGTCATATATGGAAATAATTTATGTTTCTGTTCTTTGTATTTCTATTACAGAAAGTTAATATTGTGCCCGGTGACCCTTTTCAGGCCCACTAGCCATGCCTGGCATTGTGGTGTTCCGTCGTCGCTGGTCTGTGGGAAGTGATGATCTTGTTTTGCCCGCCATTTTTCTCTTTGTTCTTCATACAACTTGGTAAGTGAAAATATACTTGAGAAGAAGACTTCTGTTGTTAGGTCATAAGCCATTGATATTTGTTTTGTAATTTTCATGTCCAGGTATTAATATTACGGTGCTATTTAAAATATTCTGCTAAAGTTCATATATACAAAGTATGGAAGTGAATCTATGCATGTAGCTAAGTTCAGGCTCAAATAATTATTTTTAAATTTTTGAGAGAGAGAAAGAGAGAGAGAGAAAGATCTGGTCTAACCGTGCTCTCTCCCTCTCTTTCTCTCTCTCTTACATACACACACACAAACACACAGAAGCAGGGGTAGAATTCAAATTTCTTAACCGGTTTTGTGGGCAAGGCCTAAATTGTGGGTGTGTCTTAGTGGTCATGTGACTGGCTGGGCATGGCTTCTATATAAATATTGTACATATTTATGTAAATATTGAATTTTTTATTTTTTAAAAAGCAACCCAAAATCAGGCAAAGCAGGCAGGCTGGCAGGCTGAGTTGCTCACAGAATCACAGATTCACTTAGAGATCTATCTATCTGCCACTGGCTACCTGAGTCTGTCACATAAAATTTGACTGTTGAAGTATGTGCAGGTTTTTACTGTTCTCATTTCTAGGCCTCTTTACATGATGGAGAGACAAGTAAATCTCAAGGAGATTGATGCAGCCTTTTTTCCCTTTGTATTGCAGAGGAACACAGAGTGTGTTCTGGGACACAATCCAGAAATCAGTATGTGGGTGGCGGGGGGGGGGTTAACTTTGTTAGCTAACCACCAGCACTTTACTATTGCAGCAGCACAACGATGAATAACACCCATAAGTATATGATATTCACGAAATACAAACCTGCTGTTGGCTGAACTGATATATTCTATTATCTGAGAATCCCATAACCCCCATATCTAAAATCAACTAAAATCAATGTGATAATCTATACAGGAACTGAAATTTTGACATGTTTACTTTATGAATAATATAAAAATAATTTTTCTGTGAATATAATATTACACATACTACATTATCTTAGAGATACAATAGTAATTTATTGTGGGATAAGCTTTTTTTGGCAGCAGTTAATTTCATAAATTGCAAACAAGATACTTCCTTTCTCAGCTTATATAAAAGCAAAACAAATCACAACAGGTTTTTTTTTAAAAAAAACAACTAATAAACATTAGGCTTCTTGTTCCTTATATGGCTAAAAGTCTTTCGTCATGTATATATTGTCCCAAGCTTTGTCAAAAGAATGTGGCTTGTGTACGGCAGGTTCATCATCCTTTCTGTGGTGCTCTTTGGACTGGCATACAATCCCAATGAGACCTGCTCTCTCAATCTGGTGGACCATGGCAGAGGTTATCTGGGTATTTTGCTCAGCTGCCTGATCGCTGAAGTTGCAATCATCTGGCTCAGCATGCGTGGCAGCATTTTGTACACAGAACCCCGGGATTCCATGCAATATGTGCTATATGTCAGACTAGGTAAGAGGCAGCAGCCAAGGTTTTTTTTTTATTAATGTTTAGTCTTGATGCAGCTGGCTGTCGTGCTCTCAAAGGGTTCTCCATTCATAATATTGACAAACATTGAGTGATCCAGAGGCATTTGTGGCTCCGAAAGACGTCTGCAACTGGTTATATGCCTATACAAGTTAAATATTATTTGCAAGTTTAGTGACTGTTTCACTACTTTTGCAGATGTGGGAAAACAAACTCCTATTTTCCCCTAAATAGGAAAATATGCCTATTTATGACTCCATAAAATCTGTATCAATTTTTATTGGGTGAATGCACATTTATGATTTTTTATTGTTAAAAAAATCACAACCTCATTAATGAAATACATATACTTTGTCTAATGCCTTGATAACGTTGCATGTGTGCTGTTTTTTGTATTCAGAAAAGACAAACAAGTTACCATGATACTTTTAAGGATAAGTAAATATAGTTTACTATTCTGTGAAGAGAAACACATACTATAATTATCTTTCTCAAACTCAACATTATTTCCTTTGTTCGCTTACCATGAGCTTTCATTTGTAAAAAATCTGATGCCTATCTACCCCTCCCCAAAGTGTGTATGGAATATATTATGCAATTCACTTCAACCCTCCCAAAAAATGGCTACATACAGATACATGTGCTATAGAGAGGTAGGAGATAAGACATTTTGAATTCTTTCCTTGTTCATTTTTATAGTTAAGGTTCCCCATTATCATTCTTTAATATTTTTTCCCTAGACAACTACATTGCATGTGCGCCTAGGTAAAGTGAAAATAATGACATTTATTTTTATTTAGTGTATGGCATCTACAAAGGTTATACAATCACTGATATACAACACTAACAAAACACATTATACTGTACATAGAAACACAAATATAAGTTTAAAAATATAAGTTTAAATAAAACATCAGCAAATATATATGTGGGCAATACAATATTCAAGATAAAACCATAAAATCACTATAAAATGGCACTATAGAATAAGATAGATGTTATAATTTGTTATAATTCGATATCTAAGCAAGCTAATCACCTAACCTCTTCTGATTTGGCTGTTGCAATGAGATCATCCTATTTAGAATGTCACATCAGAATGGATATTTTTCTCATTGCCTAAGAATTGCTGCTAAGAAATATGGTGAAATCAGTTGTTGTTTCTGTTTTTGTTGCTATATCATTGTGCATTCTGTTCTTATTGTTCCAGCAATCTTGGTGATTGAATTTGTCTACGCTATTGTGGGCATTGTTTGGTTAACCCAGTACTACAGTTCCTGCAATGATGTTACTGCCAAGAGTGTTACTTTGGGTATGTCTTTAAAAGTATAAGTATTTAAAATCACATATTCCAGGGCTGTCAGGCTCCTGGCTGCGGTCAGGATGTGTCATGCGCTGGCCACGCCCATGCCCAGTTTAGCAATGGCGGGGAAGTCCCAATGTTACGTGACACCACCATGACACTGCAAGTTTGACACCCCTGACGTATACTCACCACAGTGTGTTGAGATTTAACCTGTTCATAAAGCTGAACAAGCATAATTTTTAAGGTTTTGCTGTTTTACTGTTGTAATTTGGTTTTGCTAAAACCATTCATATACATTTATTCATAGGATAACAATAGTATTACAACTAGAAAGGAAGTAACTATTGAAATCTAACTAGGCTGTGCTATAAAAAAGTATTCTTTATACATTTATGCCATGATCCTGTGAAGGACTGAAGATGTAGAATGAACAAAGTGGTAATGCAACTATTTGGGGTCACTATTGTTATCCAACAATACTCATTGAGGCTTGCTTGATAACCCTTATTAAATATACACTGCTCAAAAAAAATAAAGGGAACACTTAAACAACACAATGTAACTCCAAGTCAATCACACTTCTGTGAAATCAAACTGTCCACTTAGGTAGCAACACTGATTGACAATCAACTTCACATGCTGTTGTGCAAATGGAATAGACAACAGGTGGAAAGCATAGACAGTTAGCAAGACATCCCCAATAAAGGAGTGGTTCTCCAGGTGGTGACCACAGACCACTTCTCAATTCCTATGCTTTCTGGCTGATGGTTTGGTCACTTTTGAATGCTGGTGGTGCTTTCACTCTAGTGGTAGCATGAGACGAAGTCTACAACCCACACAAGTGGCTCAGGTAATGCAGCTCATCCAGGATGGCACATCAATGCAAGCTGTGGCAAGAAGGTTTGCTGTGTCTGTCAGCGTAGTGTCCAGAGCATGGAGGCGCTACCAGGAGACAGGCCAGTACATCAGGAGACGTGGAGGAGGCCGTAGGAGGGCAGCAACCCAGCATCAGGACCGCTACCTCCGCCATTGTGCAAGGAGGGACAGGAAGAGCACTGCCGGAGCACTGCAAAATGACCTCCAGCGGGCCACAAATGTGCATGTGGCTGCTCAAATGGTCAGGAACAGACTCCATGGGGGTGGTATGAGGGCCCGACGTCCACAGGTGGGGGTTGTGCTTACAGCCCAACACCATGCAGGACGTTTGGCATTTGCCAGAGAACACCAAGATTGGCAAATTCACCACTGTGCTCTTCACAGATGAAAGCAGGTTCACACTGAGCACATGTGACAGACATGACAGGGTCTGGAGACGCTGTGGAGAACGTTCTGTTGCCTGCAACATCCTCCAGCATGACCGGTTTGGCAGTGGGTCAGTAATGGTGTGGGGTGGCATTTCTTTAGTGGGCCGCACAGCCCTCCATGTACTCGCCAGAGGTAGCCTGGCTGCCATTAGGTACCAAGATGAGATCCTCAGACCCATTGTGAGACCATATGCTGGTGCGGTTGGCCCTGGGTTCCTCCTAATGCAAGACAATGCTAGACCTCATGTGGCTGGAGTGTGTCAGCAGTTCCTACAAGATGAAGGCATTGATGCTATGGACTTGCCCGCCCGTTCCCCAGACCTGAATCCAATTGAGCACATCTGGGACATCATGTCTCGCTCCATCCACCAACGCCACATTGCACCACAGACTGTCCAGGAGTTGGGGGATGCTTTAGCCCAGGTGTGGGAGGAGATCCCTCAGGAGACCATCCGCCACCTCATCAGGAGCATGCCCAGGCATTGTAGGGAGGTCATACAGGCACTTGGAGGCCACACACACTACTGAGCCTCATTTTGACTTGTTTTAAGGACATTACATCAAAGTTGGATCAGCTATAGTGTTTTTTTCCACTTTAATTTTGAGTGTAACTCCAAATCCAGACCTCCATGGGTTGCTAAATTTGATTTCCATTGATAATTTTTGTGTGATTTTTTTGTCAGCACATTCAACTATGTAATGAACAAAGTATTTAATAAGAATATTTCATTCATTCAGATCTAGGGTGTCTTATTTTTGTGTTCCCTTTATTTTTTTGAGCAGTGTATTTTATGATATATTATGATGCTACAGAATTGTTAGGGATATACACCCTAGCAGAATGTGCAACGGTAGTCAGGGAGGCAGGCAAAATATATGAGATAAACGTTGTTGTAGTTTACACTCAGTAAAACAGATACACAGTGCTAGTTAAATAGTTTATTCCAGTAAGATTATTAGCATAGTCAAACAGTCCATATATCATACACTAAGTTCAGTCCGACCGGGGATTAATCAGTTGCTAAATCCAGTGTCGAAAAAGAGTTAATTAAACTTACTAAATATCAGTCCAGTATTTTATCTCTTCGCAGTATGAGATAAGAAGAAGTAAAAACTCTTTTCTTCTTTCAGCAACAGTAAATAACACGCAGTTAGCAATCCATCATCGTCAGCAAGCAAAACAGTAAACCAGCAATCAGTGAGCTTCTCTTGCTCCCTCTTATGGTGATTTTACAACCGCACCCAAAATTACATACTTTGCATTTAAAGTAACAAACACTATTATAGTCTATATATATTATTTTACCCAAACTAAGTTAGGTAACCAATGTTATTCCTAACAAGAATCTCCAAGAGTATCAGAAGTTTTATACAAGAATTATCTTTACCTTGTCAAAAAAAATGAAACAGGGAATATTACTCCATGAAAAAGAAAACATGAACTTCAAGCAAAGTGTGCAAATGAGATCTGCCACTTACCAGCTGGACTTTATCCTCTGCCTCTTCTGTTTCACTAGGAATGGTGGTCTGTAACTGGGTGGTCATTTTGAGCGTCTGCATCACTGTCCTTTGCGTCTTTGACCCAACAGGACGGACTTTTGTTAAATTGCGAGCCACAAAGAGGAGACAGCGTAATCTAAGAACATATAACCTGAGGTAAGAAAATTGTAATTGTAGAGGTTGACTCAGAATTTGTATAAAATAGATTTTCAATTTAGATAAATACAAATCTATCGTCTTCAATGTAGATGAGCACAAATTAGTGTGGCAGCAAATAGTGCAGTTTATGTGCTAGGGATACTTTTTAAAAATTATAAATAATAAAGGTCTTGTAACATACATTAGTCAATGTTGGTTTCATTTTTTTCTTCTCATTGATACTATCATGTACATTAAGAGTAAAAGGTAATGGTTTAGCCAAGATCATCCAAGTATAAATGGAATACATTATGTGATGACCCAGAGGGTAACACAAACATAACAAAATCCAAAACGTAAATAAATGTCCTTTAATGCTTCCAATTTGGCCCCACTGTTCAATAATTCTCAATTGGAGATAAAACTTACTCAAAAATAGTCTTCAAAAGAAAGCAATACAGTCCGAACTTAATGAGCAGATAGAGGTGAAATAAAAAACCAAACAAACTACAATGAAGAAATTTCCACAATGGACCAGGATAATAAGTAATAAGTAATTACCAAATTCAAGGAGATAACAAGGCACAGTCTATTGGAAGGACACCAACCAAGATAACTTCAGCCCAAAATAAAACACATTTTGCTTCTGGCAACGCTGTGTTGTAACCGTCTCTTTTATATACTATTCTCCCGAGCTGCAACTAATGAGGGGGATCATGGCCACTTCCTCTCTCATAAGCCAAGTTGTTTCCTTCTCTGTTCCTCCCTGCATGTCCTAGGATGAAGAGGGGATGGGCCTGGTTCTTCCTCTGACTGCTCAGCCAGCCTCTGCCCTTCCCCAGCCTCCTCCACAACCTCCAGAGTCACACCTCCACTCCCTGTCAGCTGTTCCTCCTCTCCCTCAGAGTCCGACTCTACCAAGGGCATGACACATTAGATGTCATTCACCCAAAGCTACAAAATAATTATATTTGGTTTGTCATAACTGAATGAGCCAGGACTATTTGACAATAAAATTGGATTTTCAACTCTGCAATTTTCTATTTTTTAAAATAAAAAAGTTAAAATAGATATGTAAAACTTTTATAATTAATTTAATTTAGTCAGTATGATCCCCCACTTGCAAAGGTGTAGGATTTTTGATCAAACATATAATATTAACATTTTCCATCATTTTGTTTTCCTTCACAATCCATGGATTTAATACTTCTGTAATATTGCCTAGGTTGTATTGGAGATTTGAATTGAGCAGAAGTCCTTATTGGAGAATATGGTTCAGAACCTAAACAGAGTGCTAAAAAATACTGAGTAATTAAGTAGCAGAACCTCCCAATTTAAAAATGCTCATAATGTATTAACTGAGATGCAGAGTAAGGGGTCAGTCCATTTGTTTTTAAATGCTAACTGACACTGATTGTATTTGAAGTAAGAGCTACATATTTTGAAAAATCCACAAAGACAGAAACCTTGAAGAACTTGAAGAGAGGAAGGTACAAAAGGAAAAAGTTTCCATTATCTCTTAATCATAAGGACTTATTTAATCAACAATGTATTAAGTGAGGAGGCTTTGTAAACACCTTTTTCTGATCTGAGTAATTCCTGACGTTCTTTTTCTAGGGCGACTTATGTATCTCTGTAATGCAACTGTATTCCAGCAGGTGGCAGCATATAGCCTACTTTGACTGAATTATGCAAAGTTGGCTCATCTACTATTTGGATGGGAGACCACTGGGAAATCCCAGAGCTGTAAACTGGAGTAGGAAGTAAAAAAGAAAGAAAGCTTTGGAAGAAGACAGTGGGAAACCATTTCTCTTCTGTTGCAAAAGAACATCATGTTAATTACTAGGAGCTAAGCTGTATTTGAGGGAGACTTTACTTTTACCTTATAAAGTAACTATAGATTATGAAGAGTTCTAAATCTGCCACTATTCAGAAAATTATGTGGAAGCTTTAAGACAGATGACATTCAGAACTGTTCACATTTTCTTTCCATGTTATTCCAGTGTTTATATATTCTTGATGTTAAGCTCTTGATGTCTTTTTGATCTGATGAATGCATTTGACTGTAACTTTTTTTTAAGGCATCGCTTGGAAGAAGGCCAGGCTAGCAGCTGGACCCGCCGTCTGAAAGTTTTCCTCTGCTGTACACGAACAAAAGATTCACAATCAGTAAGCAACTACTGTCTTCATTAAAAAACAAATATAATTCGTGATTTTGATAGTATTATAGTAAAACTGTAGCTGATGATGAGAGGAAATATGGAACTAGTATCCTATTGGGATATTCCACACATATATGTTGACCCAATGAGTGATTCTCTTTTGTAAGAATAGAAAAGCTTTTCATAATTGATACAAATAAACCTTTATTGGTAAGCTGTTCATGCTTGCTTAGTTGCAAGAAAAGAAATAATTTTTAATTTAAGAGAAATACTAAGCTTGCCAAAGGGCCTAAAACTGTTGAGTTGGCTAATTTTAAAATATATAGTAATCTTTCATTATCTTTTATTACCAAAAATGTGATTAAAATGAAGTAATCAAATATTTAGATTATTTTCAATCATGAAAGTTTTGAAAGGGATTCTACATTTTACATTAGGTAAAAGTAAAAGTATTAATAACATTCCCCAGAGCCATCTGGCCTGTTTGCAGCTGTCAGACATCTTACTTAATAGATAGTATCTGATATATGATATTGAATTGTGCAGGTTTGTTCACCCACAGTGTATTTGCTAAAGAAGACATTGGTGCACTAATAGCAAATACTACTATGTAAAATGAAACTATCTGATCTACCACAAAAATATCTTTTTTCTCTCCGAATTCCAGACACTAGAGACAAGAAATGTTGGTCTCTATTATACCTTGCCTGTCAGTTTTTCAGGTTTAGGGTTGGTTGCCTTAAGGGTTGGAGGGGGGATCCTACCCTAGATCAGTTATTGTTATTTTGACAAATGTAATACAGTAGATAATGTATTGGATAGAAAGTGAGAGGCCTAACTCAAATACGTGCTCAATTATTTTGCTTAAAGCCTGCCCTTCAACAAATTGTGTCACAGGCCTGATTTACATAATAACATTAGTATATAACATGGTTTGTTGAACAAGTCATAAAGGCATGATTCACATAACACTTTCGTGATGAGAGAGTGGTAATATCATGCTAAGCCAAACTTAAGCAAACCACATTATATGTTTATCTATCTGGCCATAGTATTTCATATTAGTTTATCTTATTGGCTTGTTTTTGACATATGATATATGAATTCAAGTATTGTTTCTTGACTACCACAGTGAAGAAAAATTGAAGAAATGCTATGAATGTTATTTTAACTGTCTTAGAAGAAAAGTTTAATGCAAATAAAAATCAATACATTCAGCCAAGTGCAGAAACTGGTAATCCAGAAATGGCTGTATTTATACATAATACCAAGGTAGGATTACTGTTTACTCAATAATGATTGCCTAATTCACACATAAACTAAGTTATAAAAGATTATTTACATACTGTATTTTTTTAAAAAAGCAAACTCCATTGTGGTTTAATATGATGCCTTTAGCAATCCAACAAGCTAACAACTATTTCAAGCTCTTGACTCTTGCTCGTTGCAGATTAATTTTTCATCTTTTCTTCTTTGGATTTTTCAGGATGCTTACTCTGAAATTGCATATCTCTTTGCTGAATTTTTCCGAGATCTTGACATAGTCCCGTCTGATATTATAGCAGGCCTCGTTCTACTACGTCAACGACAAAGGGCAAAACGCAGTGCGGTATTGGATGAAGTGAGTGTGAAGAATTTTCATTTTAACAATGAAAAGTGGACGAAATAGGCTTAACATTACTTAAAATCACCTTCTGTGATACATTTCAGTTTTGAAAACTACCTAACACTTCATCATAATTCACTTCCCAGCTACTTACAATTTCACTGTTTCTTATTGACAAGATTGAATTAATATTTGTGTACTGAAATAGAGGAAATTACGGTTTTAAATGCCTTTCAAATATCATGTTAGTTATGAGAGAAAATATACCATAAAGCACCAATTCTTTCTGTCTGATTTTTTTAAATTAACCAATTAACACTTTAATTTGGTCTGAGTACTAATTCTAGGAATATATATAGAGAACATCTAGGATCAATTGAGTAGTGGCAAATACTGTGATTTGAATAATGAAGAAATTGCTTATTATGAGAGGTAGTTGCAAATATCCTATTAAACATTCTTTTCCTCTTTCCATCCAGAAGACAGAAAATACCTTAATGTTGGCCAAGCATCTCAGCTGAGCAATATAGGTCACAACTAAAACTGTGTGAAAGTAGTGGGAATATGACAAGAGAGACAAAACAGCTATTGCCATAAGAAGGTTCAATGACAATGAGTGATCATTAGTTATACAACAATTTAGTTTCAGCCAAACAATTTTTTTTTAACAATTTCAAGGCTGATAATTATTTTAATTAAGCCTAATTTTTGTGGATTAGAATCCACTTAATCAGATTATCGGACTTGTATTCTAGTCCACAAAAGCCAAGCCATAAATGTATTGCTTTCTTTGAAGAAGATGGGTGGTTCAAACATGTGAAAAATAAATAAGATTGCCTATAAGATGTTACAAAACTGACGGTTTTATACATTCCTAGGCTTCAGATTCAGTTAAAAAAAAAGAAAAAAGAATTCAGCCTACAACATTCAGAGAAGACAGAAAAACAAAGGAAAGAAACTGATAACACACACTGAGAATAATATATTTTCCAATTGCGTTAATTCAAACGAAGAAGTGTTTACTTCTTAAGTACATGCTGAATATTTTAATTACATTTTTTTCCAACCTATATGATTTACAGGCAAACAATGATATACTAGCTTTCTTGTCGGGAATGCCAGTTACCAGGAACACAAAATATTTGGACCTGAAAAACTCAGTAAGTTATCAGATTGTTTATTACAAAAAATATACAAACTCAGTGGATCAAAGGAATTAGTTGTTCTGTCTTTCCCTGGATAAACTCTTGTTCTAATCTTAGACATTAAGAGATCGATTAGATAAGGTAGAAATCTATTAGTTCATAACAACCCCCATGAATGTGTCTTGCCAAAGCAAACAACAGATGTTATTTCACAAGTAAAGTACTATCAAAGTGTAAGTAAATCTAATTAATAAAATCAAACAAAAATAAATATAATTAATAATTAAAATAATTAATAAATTAAAAAGAAAATGCAAACAAACGAAACACTTAAAGAGCAGACTCGATGGACCACATCAGTTTTCTGTGATTCTCTTTTCAGTTTCTTTGATGTATCAGAGAGTTATCGCTATACCCTAATTGTGTTTTGAAATTTCCTTCTAATGCTGGTCAGTTCTTTAAAAGAGGTACTGTGTAACTCTTGAAAGATTGAAATCTTCTAACCTGAAATAAATACTCTGTAGAAAGCTCCTACATACAATGCAAAGCTCCTGGAGTTCCACAGAACTGCCAGAGTGCTACAAAAGACTTGATAAGGTTCCAATTTTCAAAAAGGGAGGAAATATACCCAGGAAATTACAGACCAATCAGGTGGACATCAATACCTGGGAAAATACTTAAAAAGATAAGTAGTGGATTTGCAACCATCTTGAAATGAGCAAGGTGATTATTGGAAGCCAACATGGGTTTGTTAACAAAGATCATGATAGACAAACCTTACTGACTTCTTTGACAAAGTGACTAAATGAATGGATTGGAGAGATATCGGAATATAGTTTATTTACACTTCAGGAAGGCATTTGACAAAGTAGATCACAGCCTACTTGTTAATAAGGTATAAAAATGTGGGATAGATAGCATCATCGCTAGATGGATTCGCAACTGGCTGATCAATCACATTCAGTGTGTAGTCCTCAATGACGCTACATCTACACGGAGGAAAGCATTTGTTTATTTATTTATTTGATTTGTCAATCGCTTACAAGATACAGCCATAAGAATAAACATAGTTTTGAATACCCCCTATTTATAAGAAAAATAAAAAGAAACAATAGGACAGGGACGGTAGGCACTATTGGTGTGCTTATGCACGCCCCCTACAGGCCTTTTAGGAAGGGGGTGAGGTCAATAGTAGACAGTCTAAGGTTAAAGTTTTTGGGGTTTGGGGAAGAAACCACAGAGTCAGGTAGAGTATTCCAAACATTGACCACTCTGTTGCTGAAGTCGTATTTTCTGCAGTCAAGTTCGGTGTGGTTAAGAATTCTGTGCTCTTGTATTGTTATGATTGAAGCTGAAGTATTCATTTGCAGGTAGGACATTGCAATGTATGATTTTATATGCTATATTTAGATCGGATCGAAGGCAGTGTAGTTCTAGGTTTTCTAGGTCTAGAGTTTCAAGTCTGGTGGTATAAGGTATTCTGCAATGAGTAGAGGAGCGGAGAACTCTTCTTGTGAAATATTTCTGGACTTTTTCAATTGTGTTAATATCAGATACATGATATGGGTTCCAGACTGATGAGCTGTATTCAAGTATAGGTCTAGCAAATGTTTTGTATGCTCTAGTTAGTAGTGTGATATTACCAGAGAAGAAGCTATGTAGGATTAGATTAACAACTCTTAATACCTTTTTGGCTATGTAGTTACAGTGGGCTCTAGCACTTAAATCATTAGAGATGAGTACTCCAAGGTCCTTGACAGAGTTTGGATCCTCAACAAGGTCTTGACTATTCAGTTTGTATTTTATTTTCTGATATTTTTTTTGCCAGTATGTAAGACAGAGCATTTATTTGTTGAGATTTGAAGTTGCCATTTGATTGACCATTCTGATACATAGTCAAGGTCTTTTTGGAGGGTAGTAGTATTGTCTGTGGTGTTGAATAGCTTTACATCATCAGCGAAGAGAAAGCAGTTAATATGACCACAGAGGTCATTTATGCAGAGTATGAAGAGAGTTGGTCCTAAAACACTGCCTTGGGGGACACCATTGTTGACAGCTACAGAATTTGATAGGACGCTCCCAATTTTGACCATTTGTTGTCTGTTTGACAGGAATGCTTCTATCCAGTTCTGTAGGTGTCCAGAGATACCATAAGATTTTAGTTTTAGTAGTAGTTTGTCGTGTACCACTGAATCAAAGGCTTTACAGAAGTCTATGTAGATTGCGTCTATTGCTTTGCCCTGACAGAGTTGTGTAGTCCATATGTTTTGCAGTGTAAGAGTTGCAGATTATAGGATAGTTTTTTTCTGAAACCAAATTGTTTGTTAGAGAGTAGGTTGTTTGTCTCTAAGTGGAGGATAATGGATTGGTTAATAATTGATTCCATGACTTTACAGGTGACGCAGCATAAGGAGAGTGGTCTGTAATTTTCAACTAGGCTGGGGTCTCCCTTTTTGAAGATGGGGATGACTGTGGCTTGTGACCATAGTTTTGGCAAGGAGCTGGTCCTGAAAGATTTTCCAAAGATTATGCTTAGAGGTTCGGCTATGTCAGTGGATAGCTTTTTTAAGAAGTAGGCACATATTCCGTCTGGTCCAACAGATAGGGATGGTTTTAGATTGCGCAGTGCTTTTTCAACAATGTCTTCTGTAAAATCGATATGTATTAGATCATTGTGGTGGTCTGTGGTTCAACTAGGAAGTACTGGGCTTGATCCATTGCTGTTTACAAATACTGAGCCAAAGAATGTGTTAAAGAGGTTTGCTTTGATGGTGTCGTCGTTGCAGTCTTTACCATTAGGTCCTTTCAGGGGTGGGATGGACCTTGAGTCTTTTAGTTTGTTGTTTATAAAATTGTAGAAAGCACGGGTGGAATTTGTGCGTAGAAGGTTTTCCTCTTGTTTAATGTGATAATTAGTGCATTCAGTTTTTATCTGGTGGCATAGATGTTTTCATCAGCTTTTGAAGTTGGCAACGTGACCAGATTTGTTTTTTCACCAAAGTGATCTCTTTTTGGATTGAAACTTCCTTATTGTTATGGGTAATCTGTTTTTCCTGGTTTTGGGAGTTGTTATTGGTACATATAGTTTGATGGCTCTTTTGATTTCTAGTAAGAATATGTTGTAATGGTCTTCAACAGTATTGCATCCAGTGAATAGAAATTGCCAATCAAGGGAAGAGAGATTGTTGATTATAAGATAATAGTTGCCTTTTTTGAAGTTATAATTGGGGATTTTGTCATTGTGATGATTTTTGTGTGGACGTATGTTGAGACAAAAGTCAATCATGTTGTGGTCACTGTTGGAAAAGGGTTCTTTAATTTGTATTCTGTAAATTGAATTCAAACTATTGCAGAAGATGAGATTGAGGCAGTTGTTAAGCCTAGTATTGGTTAGTAGTTGTTCCAGTCCCAGATTTGTTGCAGCATAGTAGAAGGTTGCATGTGTGGGTTCAGTTGTACATTCGTTTAGGGTCCAGTTAATATGAGGTAAATTGAAGTCACCAAGAAAGATAAAAGTGTGTGGGCAGGATGCTGCCCATGTTAGTAGTGTATTTAGCTTGTTTATATGTTCGATGTCATAATCAGGGGCTCTGTAACATAGTAAGAACCAAAATGTGATATTTAAAGTCAGTTCACAGATAATGGTCTCAGGAAGAGAAAGCTCTTGGGTAACTTGGATGTTTTTTAGATGTAAGGACTTTTTATAGAAGATAGAAATACCACCTCCTCTACGGATTTCACGATCAGATCGGTAAACATGATAGTCTCTTACTGAGGTAATGGAGTCAGGGAGAGATGCATTGAGCCATGGTTCACAGACAAATATGAAGTCGAATTTAGCCGTATTTAGTAAGAGGAGAAATTCAGGTATTTTATTTATAAGGCTTCTTGCATTGAATAGCTTGCATTTAAGGCCAGTTGTAGTTTGAATAGTTGGGGGCGTGTGTGCCTAGTCTTGGGTGATGGGTTCGGGTTATGTGGTAGGCATGTAGTAGGATACCCCTTCAACATCTTCATAAATGATTTAGGTGAGGGGACAGAAGGGGACTTTATCAGATTTACATACTACACCATGCTGGGGGCAATTGCCAAAACTTTAGAAGACAGACTGAAGAGTCAGAAGGATCTTGACAGACTTGAGCATAGGGCCCTATCCAACAAGATGCAGTTCAGTGGTGAGAAAAGTAAGGCCTTGCACCTAGGCAGAAAAAATGAAATGCACAAGTTAAGAATAGGTGGTATCTGGCTCAGCAGTAGTGACTGTGTGAGAGATCCATGTATCCTAGTGGACCACCACTAAAGTATGAGTCAGCACTGTGCTGCAGCTGCAAAACAAAAGCACTGCAGACCTAGGATGCATCAGCAGAGGGATAGCATCAAGAATACAGAAGTGATAGCACTGCTCTATTCTGCACTAGTGAGGCCAGACTTGGAATACTACATCCAGTTCTGGTTATCATGATACAAAAAAGATCCTGAGGCCCTAGAAAGACTGCAAAGAAGAGCAACAAAGGTGATAAAGGGTCTGGAGGGTAAAACCGTATGATGAATGGTTAAGGTAACTAGGTCTGTCAAATTATTGAAGAGAAGGAATAGGGATGACATGATAGTTACCTTCCAGTACTTGATGGGCTATCACAGAGAAGAGGGGGTTATTCTCCATATACCTATTCTCCACAGTACCTGAAAATATAGACAAGAAGTAAAAAGGCCCCAAAGAGTTTTGATCTATGTGGGTTATTTTTAATTATATTTACTGTACTAGAATTTAAAATTGAGAAATTTTAAATTATTTCTTTGTTTTTCGGGGGCCCTGAAAGGGTCTCAGGGCGCGAAAATGGGCCACATTTTGAGAATAGGTAAACCATTTTTTGTAAACAGTTATTTGTACAAATGAGTTATTTATACAAATGAATCAACCACTGAAGTCTGTTTTCTTATAGCACTGTTTATACCTGGATAATAAAACCATTTGAAATTTTCTGGGACTTTCGTGAGTCTTACACTATTAAATAAGTAATACTTTTGAATTAAAGCTATAAACCTCAAATGTAGACATTTTTATTGCTGTAGTATACAAAAAAGATACATAAGTGAAGAAAATTAAGAAAAAAGACATAGAATGCATATTTTGAAAACAGCTGTTTTTAAACATTTCATGAAGCTTTACCTAAACTCAAAATAATGGTATCTCTTTCCATTACATCAACACAGAACTAATTTATGATCAGTGAGCAAATCCACATCGTCAATCCAGGATTCTGTGTAGCACTGTCTTTTTATCATATAAGAATGTTATGTTCTGGTAAATTCCACACTTCATAAATCAGGAGTTCTTCATTTGGTGATAAATAAATAAAAATTGTACGTAATTTCAACTTGCACGTGTAAACTATACAGCACTCTTCTCAAAATCATCAACAAACAAACCCAAATTGTATAAGTGTGGCATGAATACATAAGTGTCTCTTCCATTATTTTACACTTACAGCATAATGAAGTTGATAGCCAACTCTTTTGAAAAGCTTTATGAAGTATCTAATAAATATAGAAAAAACTGTCATTGAATTAGTCTCATTTGTAAACAATTGGCAAATCAAATAAATAAATAAATAAATAAAATTTTAAGATCATGATATCTTAATATTCTTTTAACCATTCATTTGTTAAAACAGGGTATTCCAACTTTTGATTCCAATTCTTACAAATTATCTGTCTCTAAAAATATTTGGAATTACACATGTTCATTCAATAATATTTTAGCAGTAGGGGAAATATCTTTGCCCAATCTAGTTTTGACTGCACTGCATCTTATTATTATTACTATTTAGGTTTTGCTTCCACGTTTAACTAATCAGAGGGCTTCATTTTGTAAAAATGCATGAACTTCGTTTAGTTGTTCAAACAAGCCAGAATCAAGTTAAGGGTTAGGAACTTGGCTTATTAGTAGATCACATGTTACAAATCAGTTTTCTTAGCTAGGGTATGCAATAATAAGGTTCTCCAGCTGGAAGTCATGGAAGTCAGAATTTCTCATCCACTCAGCAGCTATCCCAGAGTGCTAATCTCAGGCTTCTTCCATCAAACAGTGCCTGGAAGTGGCTATTTGGAGCTTAATTGAAAGATCAAATAGACTATGAAAACCTAATCAGAAATTATAATTTCTTGATAACTAAATGAGAGGAAGTTATTTCTAATTATGGCATCATGCCATATTTCTTTTATTCCCTTCAGCAAGAGATGCTGCGATATAAAGAAGTATGCTATTATATGCTCTTTGCTTTGGCTGCTTATGGTTGGCCCATGTATTTGATGAGGAAGCCTACCTGTGGACTCTGTCGCTTGGCCAGATCCTGCTCGTAAGTATTGATCCAGATTGTTTTAAATGTCTTTTACTTTATTATCTCCTTTATTTTTTTTTCTTCCTCTGTCTCCTCATGCACTCCTTTATTGAAGTTTGTGTGTGTGTTTTGTTGTGCTTCTTGGATCTGCCATTCCTAAGTTGCATTAATAGAGGGATACAGTCAAGATCAAGTGAGGTACTAATACCATTCTATAAAGCCTTAGTAAGACCACACCTAGAGTACTGCATCCAGTTTTGGTACCCACATTATAAAAAAGATGTTGAGACTCTAGAAAAAGTACAAAGAAGACCAACCAGAATGATTAGGGGACTGGAGACTAAAACATATGAAGAACGGTTACAGGAACTGGGCATGACTAGTCTAGTGAAGAGAAGGACCAGGGGAGACATGATAACAGTCTTCCAATATTTGAGGGGCTGCCACAGAGAGGAAGGGGTCAAGCTATTTTCTAAAGCATCTGTACACCAGACAAGGAATAATGGATGGAAACTGAACAAGGAGAGATTTAACCTGGAAATAAGGAGAAACTTTCTGACAGTGAGAATAATCAACCAATGGAACAGGTTGCCCTCGGAAGTTGTGGGAGCGCCATCACTTGAGACTTTCAAGAAGAAATTGGACAGCCATTTGTCAGAAATGGTGTAGGGTCTCCTGCTTAGGCGGAGGCTTGGACTAGATGACATACAAGGTCCCTTCCAACTCTGATTATCTGTTATCTGTTATTTTTATCTGTTCATTCATTCATTCATTCATTTTTTTTTAACAACGAACATGAATACATCTTTCTCGCACCACTGATCTATTTGGCAGGATATTGCTCCTATTGTAACCCTAACATTAGGTTTTCAAGTCACATGCCCTTGATAGCCCGTTCTACATGAATATATCTGATAAAGTCATTCAAATTAGTAACCATCATCACATGAATCAGTGCTCAATTATATATTAACTACTGGCAATTGTTTAGAAATTAATATAAACTGTATTTCATTTCTAATTGTACTAATTTTACTTTGGATCTTAGGTACATATCAGAGCATAAAGAAGGGCTATAAATTAAGTTAATAAATATTCATAACATAATATAAACTCCCTACATAAAATCCCTAAAAGGCAAGCTATTCATTTAAAGTTTTGTTTTGCTATCTGCAGTAGAAATCCTTTGTCTCTTTTTTTTAATACACACAAGGGGAATCTTGACCCTTAGCATACTAATAGCTGAGATGAGCATTTATTTATTCATGTGTTCAAACTAAAAATGTTGATAGTATTAGAAGCATTTTGCCATTAAAGCTGACTTCCAGGGTAATGAGAAAAAGATGACAATTTTGGACAGTTGAAGTCTAATAGTTTTAGAGCTTTCTTATGAAACACTAAAGTGGAATTTTGTGTAAAAAGAAGTAGTGTGAATTGTTTTCTTTTTTCTTTCCATGATTGATGCTTTCTTTTAAAGTTGCTGTTGCCTCTGCACTACTCGGCCCCGTTATGCACCTGGTGTCACCATTGAGGAAGATAATTGCTGTGGCTGCAATACTATTGCCATTCGACGCCATTTCCTTGATGAAAACATGACTTCTGTGGACATTGTGTACACTTCATGTCATGATGCGGTAAGGGCTGTTAGGGATAACATTGTTTTACCCTAACTGTTTTGGGTAAAGATAATAAAATGATGAATCATGGTTTGTCAGATAAAGTGTATGTGACTTTAAGCTAAAGGAATGTAATTAAGGGTGCAGCTGTAAAAGTACTATATAAGCAGCAAGGCACTCTCTGGCTCTTACTGGCTGGCTTATTGAAGACTGAGTTCTTGCTGAAACGGGGAGTGGAGAAGTGTGTTGATATTTCTCAACGGAGAGAAGATTGGACTGATTTATTGTAAGTGTACTGACATTGGCTATTCAACACGGACTTTGCAAATAGAGTATCCCTGACAAGACTTGACTGAAATTGATATATGACTACTGGACTGTTTACATGACTATGCTATAATTCTTAAATGGAATAAATTATAATTTTGATAGCACAAGCGTATCTGCATTTTTACTGCGTGTTAACGAGAAGGCTTATCTCACACATTTACCTGTCTTCCTATCTGACTTCGCTGCACGTTCTGTTTAGTTTGTTTTTCCTTAACACCCGTTGGGGAATCCAGGCTTAACAAGGGCTGTATGAGAAATAACTTGTGCTGGAGAACACTGCTAAAGTGTTTCAGAGAAATATGCTAAGGTAGGAATAGGAAAGCAGCTTTCAAACCCTTTATGTAAGAGATCATTTCACAGATTTGATAAGCATTGTTGATTGCTTTTCTATGTTTAATGTCTTGGAGAGAAAAAACAGATGCCAAAAAGTGAAAAAGGGAGGCCTCAAACAATCTTAAGTAGTCCTATGGCTTTGATTCTGGCCCTACCATTGTTTCTTTCAGTCCTACTTTCCTTCCCATTTCATCCCCAACAAATATCAGTATAAGAATATGTGTTTGACTTTTCTACATGGGGTAAAATAATGGAGCTGACAAATCTGAATTCTCTTATCAGGTGTAAAATTATAAATTCCTGACAGAATTAGCTCAAAAACGTTGCTTCTCTACCAGGAATTAATTAGGAAAGAAAATGCATGGTATTTAGGTAAGACTAAATAGAAAGAACAAGTTTGGTGTAGTCATTAAGGTACTGGGCTAGAAACTGGGAGACCATGAGTTCTAGTTCCACCTTAGGAACAAAGAAAGCTAGATAACATTGGGCGAGGAAGAAGACAATGGCAAATCACTTCCAAAACCTTACCAAGAAAGCTGCAGGAAGTTGTCCAAGGAGTCAGCACTAACGTGAAGACACCACTATAAACACTAAATATTGTAATATACTTTATTACTTTTAGGTTTATGAAACCCCCTTCTATGTGGCTGTAGATCACGAAAAGAAGAAAGTAGTCATCAGCATTCGAGGAACTTTATCACCAAAGGTAATTTTTTTCCTGTTTTTTTCACTTACTTTCATGCTCTGATCCTAGAAATCTGCTAATGTGCAAGTGCATTAATAAGATTTGTAACAATGTCTAAGCCTCATAATGGGCAAGTCTTTTTTTCTTCACCCCGAAGGATGCTTTGACTGATTTGACTGGAGATGCTGAGCGCCTCCCTGTGGAGGGTCATCACGGAACATGGCTTGGACACAAGGTATTTATAGAATGCTTTTGATTTTAATTGGTTAATATATGCACTATAATTTCAAATCATTCCTTTAAAATTTCTCTTGGAATATATAATTTAAGATTATTTTTAACCCTTGTATGAAAGCCACAGCATGCAATCTGTTAGTACTGAAAAAGGTATAAAAAGCTGTTGAAAGTTACTTTCATTCAAATTGGTGTCCTCCCCCAAAACAACTGGCAGTTAAAGACTGATGGAACATGAAATGTAATTCTGTAATGAAGACAATTTTAAAGTTCCAAGGAGTGCAGAATATTTTATTATATATTGATATGCTTAATAATTAGAAATACCTTTATTACATTGGATTATGGAAAATGAATGTGTGGATATACTGCTGATCAATGTTTCATTTATTTTGTTTGAATATACTGTGTTTTGAAATATGTAATAAAAGTTGAATGTAATGAGTCTGTATATCTAACAAATATGGTAAGAACAGAATTTAGAGCCATGTTGGTGCAATGGTTAGAATGCAGTACTGCAGGCTACTTCTGCTGACTGCCAGCTGACTGCAATTTGGCAGTTCAAATCTCACCAGGCTCAAGGTTGACTCAGCTTTCCATCTTTCCGAGGTGGGTAAAATGAGAACCCAGATTGTTGGGGACAATATACTATAAACTGCCTAGAGAAGGCTATAAAGCATTGTAAAGCGGTATATAAGTCTAAGTGCTATTGCTATAAAAGCATTTATGACACCAGGATGCCAAAGATGTCACTGTACATCATCTGAAGATGCATCTGCATGCAAACCTACCTATCCATTACTCTGTTTGCTTTTGGAGAAAGCTTTGTTGCGTTAAAAAAGTAGGAAAAACTAAGCCAAAAATTATAAAAGCCTGAGGTAAGAAAAGCAAACATATGTACAATAGTTTACAAATGATAAAACATTTGACAGTATTACGGTGCAAGTGTAAGTCAGGAACTGCTTTCTTTCTCTGGATGATTTGTGGTGGCTCAGCAAGAACTTTTTACTACCGAAGAAGTTTCCCCCCATCTTGAATGACAGTGTTGGAAGCAAGGGGAGAGATTCTAAAAATAGATTATGAGTGGAAGAGCTTTGAGTTTCATTAAGTTGAAATATTTTAACATCATGCAGATTTTTTTTAAAAAGCTAGGAATCTTCAGATGCCAATAGGTTACCAGTACCGATAACCAGGTTCTTTTAAAAAATAATAAAGATTTTGCAGATCTGCTGACCTCTGCTCTATAGTCAGTAAATCTGAAAAGATTATGTATAAGCAATTACAAATCACCATTTCAAGTGACATCTGCTGAATGCACTCACACAAATCTTAAATTACATTTTCCATCTTTGGAATTTGACATTCTTATGCCAGCCAGTGCATTCTTGTGTCTTGATAATTGATCCCATCTGGTAAGCATATTCTATTATAGCTTTCTCCAATCCTTATCCTTATCCTGTAGAAGGCCTTGTTATCACTTCATAAATCCTTTTGAAAGATACAGAATGGATTTATATTTTTTTTAAATGAGTTGCCATTTTATAGATGTAAAAAGTAACATTTATGATCTGAATTATAATAGTCAATTCATATATCAGAGTATACCCATTCTTTCTGATTCTTCCCATTATTAGCAGATGGTTTCCCAGTTAAGTACCTAACTTCCCAGTTTTAAATACCATTCCTAATATTTCTAAAACACACTGAAAATAAATGACTCAATGCATTTTGTTTATTTATTTACTAAATGTGTTTGCTGCCCATCTCTCTGCAAGGCAGATCTGGGCAGCAATACAACATCTAAACCATAAATATATATACCAGTGTATAAAATCACAATGAAAGACAGATACTATACAACTAAAACTAAAAGATGGGAAGGAAAGGCACATGGGAGCTGCTATTAGTCGACCAACCACCTGCAGTGTGATACTCCCCCATTAGCCCCCCCCCCCCCAGCCAACTACAGAACCAGGTCTTCAGGGACTTACGGAAGGTCAAGAGGGCAGGAGCCAATCTCAGGGGACAAGGTGTTCCAAAGGACTGGGGCCACAACAGAGAAGGCTCTTCTCCTGGACCCTGCTAATAAGAATTTCTTGACTGATGAGATCAGAGATCTGCAGCATGTCTCATCTATCGGCATAGAGCTGAGACAATTTCGATTAGCACTCAAAAACTTCAAACGGTCTTGAATGCAACGGTCCAGGTATAGGTCTTGACATGCTGTACATATCTTCAAGATCTGTTTTAGTTGTTAACAGATTTCTGGGTATCATCAGTAGCACTGATTTAAATTGAAAAAGCCTTCTATGGCTTAACATTATGGAGGACTGCCTTACCAGCCATAATCTATTGAACTAATATATTCATGCCATATAAGAGATATATTGTCTCCCACTTTCAAGAAGTGAAAGCACTGAGGCTTTTTATCTAGCAAATGTAGATACCCGTATTATGCACAATATTCCTAACCAGCTTACAGTAATATTCCGTATAAACAAAATAAATGTAACCCACAAACCTTACAACAAAATCATATCCCATCACAGTTCTGCATCTCACTGATTGTCCATTTACATTTGCTGGGTTCACTTTCATCCTAGGCCAATGCTTGTGTTGCTGTTTCTTTTACCACCACCCTAGACCTATGGAACTGCTTCTCATTAATTGAACTGGCCCCAGATAATGGTGGAACTCAGTTATAAATAGAACAATTATTGGGATTAGGATTTTTTTTCTGATCATTCAGATGGTTTACTGAAAATGGTTATATTTTAATTTAGCTTGTAACATTACCAGAATTGTGTTTGAGTATCTTAAATTACTGCAATTCTTACTGTGAATATTTTGTTGATACACAACTGTAGATTTTTAATTGTTCTAGATTGTTGCAAGTTATCTGGAGTGCCTGACAGACTCAGTAGCATACTATACAAGCATACTGTAATAAACTGTAATGTTGCAGTGCAACATTGTGCCATATAGAAAGGTGTCAGAGAGGGTTAGGATGAGGCAGAGTGCTTCTCTATCTGGGTATAGGAGTTTGTCTCTAAGTTGCTCTGCTTACCGACAAAAAACGCTTTAGCTATAGTTCTGCCAGGGATATCTTATCATTTATTTAAGCATATATATATTACCTGTCATACTATGCTTCACCTGGCAGCGTATAGTACTGAACAAATTTTATACCATAAATGTAGAATAATTAAAAAAGAATATAAATTAAAATGTAGAAAACATGAACACAGTGGCGATGAGTGACAAAATTATAACAGGCTAGGGTTTGGGTTGGAACTGAAACTATTTCATCAAAGTCTCTCTGTTTCCTTTAGAGATCTCCCAGGTTCTTTTCCCATTGATTCAAACTCTAGGGAAGTCCAAGAAATCTTGATTTCCCTTACTCAAACTAATATGAGCTACTAAGCTTTAGAAGTGGTGCTCAATGTAATCTGTCCCTTTGATCCTTTATTAACATTGGATTTCCCATTTTACCGAAGAAGGAAAGAGTCACATTGCCTCAGTCACTTGAATTAATGTTAAAACTCACATTTTCTGTTTTCTTTGTTGTTTCTTTTTAGGGGATGGTGCTATCTGCTGAGTATATAAAAAAGAAACTGGAGCAAGAGATGGTGTTGTCTCAGGCTTTTGGCCGTGATTTAGTAAGTTTTTGTTTTATTGCAATATGTTCATAAACTAGAGTTATACCTCCATGTTTTGCTACTAACTATTGAACACTATGTCCAAAGTATTTGAAATACTGCTACAATTTAAAAATGTCCAGCACTTTCCACTACTCTAAGAACAATTACTTGAAATAATTTTTTAAAAAATTTAAAAATTCATTTAAAAACAATTTATAATTTTAAAATATTACTGACATTCATTAACTATACACACCTTTTCAAATGAATTAATTGAAACCACTACAATGTGATGAAAAGGTCCCTTATTACAAATGCTAAAAATAAAGTAAAATGTATTCATCACTTATTAAAATGTTACTGATTAAGAAGCCTTCACAAGTATCCATCACACAAATAATGTGATTTCTCATTCATGCTAACTATGCTGTTTAGAATATGAGAAAATGATCAATTGCCTGCAGGTGGCTTTTGTGCAACCCTGAACACTCCTTTTTCATTTGCTATTAGAAAACATTTGCCACTAAAATTCAAAAACATCATCTGAAAACAAGAGTTTTTTCCTTTATAAAGCTGAGTGATAGTTATTGAAAAGATCATTTTAATTCAGAGTAATTTAATTTAATTAATTTAACTTAATTTAAGTTAATTTAAATTTAATTAAATTAAAGTTAAAACATTTGGAATTGATTTATGTATTTTTTTTTTTAAAAAAAAACCATGAGCAAATTGTAGCAATTTTTTTAGAAGATTACAGATTATGTTTGCTAAGATTAAAAAGGTATTATTTGTGAATGTTTTGGAAGTTTCTCATTGGTTATTGCAAGAAATTATGTATTGTTTTATTTGGTATTCTATTTATTTTTTAAAAATATCAGCCTGAGTGCCACTTTTTTTCTTTTGTTCCCCACTTTTTCATTCTTTAAATGTTACATTGCAATTTGTTACTATCAAAATGGCATGTTTAAATAGTGTTTTAAGAAAAATGCTTGTTTCAATACTAATTAAAACATACATTTTACACTGTGGTTTGAGACAATTAGTTTAAAAAGATATGGTAGATAACTGCATAAATAGATGGAAATACCTTAATCCTTCAAATATCTAAAAGGCTTTTGTTTTGTAGGGCAGAGGAACAAAACATTATGGCCTAATTGTAGTGGGCCATTCCTTAGGAGCAGGCACAGCAGCCATTTTGTCCTTTCTACTACGTCCACAGTATCCAACTCTAAAGTGCTTTGCTTATTCTCCACCAGGTGGGCTTTTAAGGTAGGTATCTACAGTATATTTAGACAATAAGAGAATAAGGAGCTCTAATTTATGAGTCAGCAATGAGCTGCAGCTGCCGAAAAAGGCAGTGCATTCCTAGGATACATCAAGATCACAAGAAGTGATAATACCTCTGAGATCTCACCAAACTTTGGCAAATAGTTTCAGGGTTTTATTTACCATTTTAAGAATAGATACCAACTTTTTAAACTCCCCTGTTAGTAGGAGGATTTTTACATTCCATGTCAATTTCTTCATTAGGTATTATCATACCCTCAATTATCCTAACCCAGCAACCTGTCTCTGCTGATAATCCCCTGCTCTTGCAAAGTCATTGTAGCAGAATTCTCTTTGATTCTGTTCATTCACCTTATCCATTACCTTCCATTTCTATTTGCCACAGCCTTGCCAAGCACAGTTGATTTTTCTCATCCATCATGAAGTTGTATCATACGCTAACTAATGTGTCATACCTACTTCTGGTTAAATCCTAAAATGAAAAGAAAGATAACATGGCTCAGAACAAATGGACAAGGCACAGCCAACAGAGGAAATTGAGATTGGACCATCAGTCCTCCTGGAAATGGAATTAACGGGACTAGAAGACCTCCAAGCTTATTCCCAACTCTGTTATTCTGCCCTTTCCCCTCATTCCTAAGAAATTCCAGCCCCCAAGAATAAAGGAAATATGTGTGTGTGTGTGTGTATGACACACACATAGTTCACAAATTGTGAGACTGTATCATAGCAGATGCCTTCTGGAATACCATATTGCATAACATTACGTGAATCCTGACCCTATTGACCTTTTTGAAAGCCTTAAAAGACCTGATTCTTTTTCCAGTTAGAGGAGCCCAGATGGGTTTGTTGCTGGTTTCCTTGGCTGCCAATTTGTCCTTGTCTTTGCTGATTGTTTGGTTCTATAGTTTAACAAGTTATTAACCACCCAGAATTGAATTTGAGAGATGCACAGGCATATAAACAAACAAACATTCTTAAACAGTTAGCAAAACTGCACTCAAAGGAGATGGCCATACTATGTAATTTAAATCTATGCCTGGCCATCTGTTCAGTGATTCCAGCAACTGTAGATTAGGCTTCAGTTACTTGTGATCAGTCTTTGCTGTGATGTGCTAATTTTCCAACTACTGACCTTGCTTACATTTCAGATATTCTCTTTTGATTCTGCATGTGTAGCAGTAATTTATGACTTGAATATAAGCCAGAGTATGATTATCACTTTAACAGAACAGTCAGTCATTCTTTTTTCATGACCATTGATGGATTCTTTTTGCTGTCTAGAGTATCCATACTAATGATCTCCAGAGCCATCATTCAAATATGTTGTTACTCTTTCAGTGTGTTAAGTGTTCTATTTAGATTGGGGGAGGGGCGGGGAGAAGATAACCAAAATAGAATTACTCTTGATTTTGTTTTAAGTGTATCCATCCATATCTTCTTCCCTAGGAGTAATCTCTTCTTTATTTTCCTTACAATCCAACTTTATTTTTGAGCCCAAGAAAATTAAAATTCTATATGTGTTCTTAATATTTGACATTATCCCTTATTTTTCTTTTTTCATCTTTACTTTATAATTACGTCTTTCAGCCTTTCACTTTCACCCCAACTTATTAGTGTTTCATCCTCCAATTTTGAATTCGTCATCTCTTCCAGACCTGCCATTTGTATATTTGTTGTACAAATTAAATAGTATGGGAACACAACAAAACCTTATTTTCCTTTATTCTGAAACACTGTTTCTCCACGCTGTATGGTTGCAATAATTTTTTATTCTTTAGAAATATTCCTCAGAAGAATAATCAGGTGTTCTGGCATACATGATATTCTTAGTGCAACTCACAATTTGGCATAATGTGATCAATGAAGCAAAATAAACATCTTTCATTTATTTCCTTTCTCTGTCCCTTATTTTTTTATGTTAGCTGTTGAGCTTATATCCCTATCTTTCTTAAAATCTTCCTCTTCATCTGGTATTTTTCTTTTTATATTTGGCACTATTCTTTTCTGTAAGTTCTTAAGCAAAACTTTGCTTGTGTGAAGAATTAGTTTCGAGGGTTTGGTAATATGTGGATCTTCTTCCATTTCCCTTTTTCTTTTCTTTTCTTTTTCTTTTTGGTGTACATTGATCTTCTCCAATCTCTATTTGTTTCACATTTATTATCATAGAGATGTTAGCACTTGAATTGCCTCCTCTGCAATATTAAACAGTTCAGCTGGTGTTTCAACTAGGTCTTGGTACTTTCCTATTTATCAGGCAGTCTAATGTCTTTGATAGTTAAATTTTTTAATGGATTTGGTTCCTGAATATATATTCTCCCTCTACAAATCTTCTGTCAAACTAAAATCTTATGTGTAAAGTATTTCAACATTGACTTTCCATTTTCCTGTAACCTCGTATGTTTCATTAGTTCTCTTTTGTGATTTCTACTAGGTATCTATCTTAGTATACATTTCTGTGTACTGGCAAATGGGTGATCTACTGGGATTCCCAGGAGTAAATTTTATCTATAACATTAATTCTCTGCAAATTGCTTTTCTCCTGATATCGAAGTACATTATGCAGACCTGAATCATCATCATCGTTATTGACTTAATCTTCAATTTGATTCACAGTCTGGGATTGGTAAAAACTAAACAGTTCAAATTCTAACCAAGGACCTAAATGCTGTTAGAATAACATCTGAGCAGATGGACAGTTTTGAGTAAGGTGGTGTTTTTGCAAAGTCGGAATATTCAGGTCTAATAAATTCAAAATTTCCATGTATCTAGGTAGCCCTTTGGGTATTACTCCAAGGACTCCTATTACTATTAGTACAACCACTGATTTCTTCCTCCACAATTGTTCAATTCACAATTCACAATATTTTGATTTTTTTTCTAGCTGTTTCTCTTCAAGTCATGCATCACCTGGTAGTGCAATATTAATTCCCCTCTCCCATAATAGTGACATCACACATGTTGTGTGCCAAATATCTGATTGTTTGGATCCAAAAGTTCCATAAGATCTTAACCTGTTCATTTTTAAGAACTTTGTCAACTTGGTGTTTCCAGGAATTTTTTCTGCATTTGAATCTAAACTTCTGGCAAAGATTCCAATGTGTTGTTGTTGTTGTTGTTGTTGTTATATGGCATAGTAACAGTAGCCAGGAGACCACAATGCTATTGCAGAGTAGTAGTTTGGCTGCCAGTTTACCAGCTCTGTTGTAGGCTACACTCATGTGCTTCCCAAGGTGCACCTCAGAAGGGCGAGCTGGTTTAGCATCAGTAAGAAAGGGAGCTACTTTTCCTGCAGCAGTATCCTAAGCTCCCTCCTCTCCCTAGAATCGCCTCATAAATGTTAGGTGTACAGAAGCTGAGGCAAGTGACAAGAGCTTACCCCGCTACACAGTGCTAGGACTGAAACCATTGGAGCAGAGACCATCTCCAGCTTCATTAAGCCACTGAGCCACCATGCCTCTTGATCTGGAGCATTGATTTCTTACTTGTTATACTTACTTTTTTTTACATAGTTAAATATTAGTATCATTTTCTTGTATCCTTTTCTTACAGCGAAGATGCTATGGAGTACTCCAAAGAATTTGTGACTGCAGTTGTGCTAGGCAAAGACCTTGTTCCCAGGCAAGTCAGTTCATTTGGAATTCTTTATTTCATTTTTCTTGTATTTATACTAAGCTATAATGCCTTGTCTCAATTCCACTTAAAATCAGTTTCATTTTACCACTTAACAACCATTCTTATACTTCTTCCTTGACATTTTTTTCCAGCTATCTACCCATTTTACTGTATCTTTTCCATAAACATATATTGTACTTTACCACATACTGGATATTGACATAACACTTCTTAATCTCTCAGCTGTCTCTATTACTGAAAAAGGTGAAATATGCACAAATATGTAGCACCGCCTTAGTTATTTATGCTGTCATTTATACATTTGTACTTTCTCCCAGGTCACTTCTCCTGAGCCATCTTACATCTGTGAATTATCTCCTGGCTATATCTTCCGTGCCATCTCCCATCTATGCACTTTATCTTGATCTCTGAGTGTTGTCATCTTCCTTCTGTCTAGCATCTCTGTATTATGTGAGCTGTGTCATCTTATAGTTGTGTACAATTTATTGTTTTATGTATATTATCATTCCTTGCTTACCTGAATGTTGTTTCATTTCAGATGTGTGCATTGTTACTTTCTATTTTTTCAGTTTCCTTGTCATTGTAGCTAGAATGCAGTTATGAATCTTTGCACAGTACTTTTTTTAAGTCACAGAAGCAATCATTCTCACATAGTTATTTTAGGAATGTTGACAGCTAAAGACAATGAGCAAGCACTGTAATGGAAGTTGTAGTGAAGACAAGATAGTCTCCATGCAAAGGGAAAATTGTATAGCAAATCTTCCCAGCAAAAAATTGGCAAACACCACATTGCTATTTTTGACTCTTACAAAAAATGCAGGATATAGGAAGGAAGGAATGGCTACAGAAAAGAAGATTCAACTGACTATCAGTAATAATCACATTTAACATACTTCATTTTCCCAATAGAGGCAAAAATATTAATACCTATATTTGATTTGTGTAACATCTGAAATCTGTGAATTAAAAATACTGATGCATATGTTCATAATCTCATAAAGGAAAATCTGTCTATATCTTCTAGTATCAATAGTGATCTGTTTCAGATCACTATTACTTAGTTCACCTATAATGTGAGCTCTAAAATGTCACTCATGTCCTAGAGAGCATAGTAACTCTTCCTGCATATGTTTGGTCAACTGTATGTTTGGTCAACTGTACGTTTTGAATAGTAAGCAAGTGTTATTTGCTAAGTGCTTGAACTCTTGTTTGGTTATTAGTAGCGTACAGTATCTAAATATACTGTATGTATTATCTAAATCTTATGATAATGGATGAAATCCAGGGTGTTTATATACTTTGTCCTTATCATGGGTAAGTTATATCTGATTAAATATCTCTTTGCTTTTCTATTTATGATTCTCATAATAGTTAAACCTGCATCATTGCATCTGATACTCTTTATCATTCAGGATTGGCCTCTCACAATTGGAAGGATTTCGCCGGCAACTTCTTGATGTTTTGCAGAGAAGTAATAAACCAAAGGTAAACAAATTTCAAATCTATCTGAAATGAAAGTAATTGTTATAAAACTGTTCTTTAATTTTTTTTTGTTTAGGATTTATGTAGGTTGTAATTGTCAGGTGCAAGCAACCAGAGCTGCTCATAAATGGCTGAAGCAAGGAACTTTATTGCTTTCTACCTAAATTACAAGAATCTCCCCAGACTCGCTTGCCTTTCCCTGGAAACAACCTGATAAGGTTTCATGGATCTTGGGGGCAGACACATTTTTGCCTTTTGTGACTATGCAAAAGCTAAGCCTCAGCTTGATCTCCCCCCTTCCAACCTAGCTGGCAGTTTCCTGTTAAGAGAACCCCACACTTTGGATATGGTACATATCCAGCTGTAGAATTCTAATCCATAAATTGTTTTCATGTTAAATTATTGGACTATTTTTAAAAAATACAGAGTTGATACTGCTTTCATTTTTGTTTATTCATTTATTTATTAAATGTATAGGCTGCCCAAGACCTTCATAACTTTGGTCAGTGTAAGATGTAAGGCCTTTTTGAAACTGTACAATGCATACTCCAATAGCTTAGTCTGTGTTTCTTCTAAAGAGATTTATGTATAATTCCAAGTGAGAAATATAAAGTGTCCTAGTAGCCGTAACCATGTGTAAAGCCAACTTTATATACTTTACAGGAATATGAGGCTTAGTAATACCTAATTACTTAACAGAAGTACTTAACTTAGTTAACAGGAAGCAGCTGGAAAAGAAAAAATGATATTTAAAATCTTTTCATTCTATGAATTATTGTATTTCTAGCAGGTATGAATTATTTATTTTGACAATCAACAAACATTGTGTCAATTTTCTCTAAACATGTACAGTACATTTCACATTTATTTTCCATTGAATTCCTATTGTTGCTTTTCTAGTTTTAAAAGTATTGGAATTGTTAACTGGACCTATTCTCAAACTGACACATTATTTAAAGATGTGTTTCTTGCATAATACTTCAGTTGTATTAATACATCATTGAAGAAAGATAGTTTACCATTAAACCTACTTAAGGGTCATTTCCTGCAAGGCGATCAAACCGGTCAGTCCTAGAGGAGATCAACCCTGACTGCTCTTTAGAAGGCCAGATCCTGAAGATGAAACTCAAATACTTTGGCCACCTAATGAGAAGGAAGGACTCACTGGAGAAGAGCCTAATGCTGGGAAAGATTGAGGGGAATAGAAGAAGGGCACGATGGAGAATGAGGTGGCTGGATGGAGTCACTGAAGCAGTAGGCGTGAGCTTAAATGGACTCCAGAAGATGGTAGAGGACAGGAACGCCTGGAGGAACATTGGCCATGGGGTCGCAATGGGTCAGACGCGACTTTACAACTAACAACAACAACAAGGGCCAGGATGTTTTTTAAAGATTAAGGAAATAAAGAATATGTATGCACATCTTAGCACAGTATACATTATATGTATACAGTATACAGTATATGTACATATGTATTTATTAGATGTATATCCTGTTTTTTTCTCCAGGAGTTCACAAGACTCTATATAGCACCCTCTCTTCCAGTATTTTTCACAACAACTCTGAGGTTACATTGGACAGAGAGAAAGTGACTGGCCCAAAATTATCTAATGAATTCTGTGATTAATGGTAGACTTGAACCTAGGTCTCTATAATCCTTATTCATTATTTTAACTACCATAGCACAGTTTCTCTGGAATAAATCAATAAATATAGATGAAAGAGTAACAGAACATATGAATTACACAAAAGGTGGTTTCAGCTGTAGTATACTGTATTGATGGATTTCTGCTATTGTATTGATTAACATATTATAGTTGAATGAAGGCACAGTGTTAAGTCTAAATGGACAAAAATGTTCAGTCTGTCAAGCTGAGATACTGTGGCTTCTGATACACACAAACACACCCACACCCACTAACTTTAAAGATTAAAACCATGAGAAAAAATGATTGCTGTTTTCTTTCATATGCTAGCTTTTAATAATGGACAATTCATATTCCTTCATTACTTTTTTTCCCCTTGGATAGTGGAGAATCATAGTTGGTGCAACCAAATGCATACCCAAGTCTGAGCTCCCTGAAGAGCCTGAAGGGAACTCAATAACCAGTAACCGCCTCTGGACTCATCCTAGTGACTTAACTATTGCCCTGTCAGCCAGCACACCTCTCTATCCTCCTGGGCACATTATCCATGTGGTTCATAATCATCCTGTTGAACAGTGCTGGTAAGTGGAGGAATAATGACTAGCAAAGTTATCGGAGGTTTTTAGGATGAAAAATCTAGGTCTGTTTTTTCAAAATATCTCTTAGAACTTTTAATATTAGTGATGCTTATTGATGATGCTGTATATATTTTCATTATTACTTCCCAGGGAATTGTGGTTTTGTTTTACATGTTCTACACCAGGGCTATCAAACTCGCAGCCTGTGGGCTGGATGCGTCACATACTGGCCATGCCCACGCCCAGTTTAGGGAAGGGGGAAAAAGTCCTGATATGTCACGTGACGCTGCTGTGACAATGTGAGTTTGACACCCCTGTTCTACACATACCACAAAATTAAATAATTATCTCTCCTCTTCTCCTACCCCAAATGTAACCAAAAAATGTAAAGCTGAATAAAGATAACACCCACCCAAATTGTTTGCAGGTAATGGTACTAGTCATTTCAATTAACCGGAACTTAAAGGTCCTGAAACAAAGGCAATTCACTATCTATTCACAATACAAAGCCAGCTGAGTATCTGCTTTATTAGTTGAAAGCTACAAAGTTGAATTTCTGAATTAGAAGTAATTATAGTTCAGCTAAGAAGTACAATATGGACATGTTCCTGATGTTTTTTCATTGGTTTTTTTAGGTTTGCAGTACAGTTATGCTTAATGTCTACTGACAATCATATGTCTAAGGAAATACATTGTATAATATTGGTATATACTTATACAATAAAATGCAGTGTTATGCAATGAAATGGTTTATTAATTATCCTGATTCTTGAATTAAAAAGTTATGTAAGGAAAATGCTGCAGTTGCAAGGCAGAAGATTTGAATAAATTCTTTGTGTTTACTCTGCTTAAATCACACAGTAGCCTCATAAAAAGATAAATTAGAAGTGATGGTTAATGACTGCCTCATCTGATATCTTTTACAGCTGCTGTGATCAGGATGAACCTACGTACTTTGCCATTTGGGGAGACAACAAGGCATTTAATGAAGTGATAATTTCTCCAGCAATGCTACATGAACATCTGCCATACGTAGTAATGGAGGGTCTTAACAAGGTAATAATCATTCAATGGTTTTGGGATTGAATGATGAGTGAACAATTAGACACCATGCTGAGTGTCTTGATGAGGAGAACTAATGTAGATTCTATGATTCACAGATATGGAATGAGTAGAACATAATGTAACAAAGTTTTCATGAATGCTTCTACATTTATATACTGCAAAACAGACACATGTACACAATGCACTGATGATATTACCTAGTTTGGGTAATAAAATGTCTGCAAGAAAACAAGCTCAGAGAGCATCAAGGACCCACCATATACACAATCATTCAGTTTAACTCATGTTCTGAGAAATGCAAATGCATTACTTTTGTAAAACCAGACTAAGATAAAGTGGTCTGTGCTTACATTTACTTACTTACATCTGCTATAATATCTTGCTGAAAATTACCTTGGAATGCCATTGTTTACTGTAATTGGCAAGGAGATTTTTGAAAGGGAGAGCAATTGTCATTTGAGCAACAAGTTGGATGTCTGTTGATTATATTGAGCTGGTACTTTCCCTGAGTATAATAGTTTCTTATCCATCTTACCATTGGTAAGATCTTAATTATACTACAAATCACATGATCTGTTATAGGCTACTTTAACATGATCTACATTTGTCTTAGCATTTATTTAACAGTACTCAACAGAAATGAAAATACAGGAAAGTTATTATTTACTAATTTATTTTACATAGGTCCTGGAAAATTACAACAAGGGCAAAACAGCTTTGCTTTCTGCAGCCAAAGTGATGGTGAGTCCTACAGAAGTGGACCTCAACCCGGAATTAATCTTCCTGAATCAACCCCTGCCTAGTAGACCTTCTGTACAGATTGGAATTGGAGACATAACAGTGGACAGAAGGAACAGCAGTACTAAGTAAGGATATGGCTCTGATTTTCTAGAAGGGCTTACGAGGGCTGCTGGTGATCTTATTCCTCCCTGATATCCTGTTGGTGAATATCATAATTTCATAAAGAATCATGCCTTCTGTATGCACTTCTGTAGCTTGTTCCAGAAAATTATAGTACTAGTCTTACCTTAGTCTCATATAATTTGTACTCTCTTTTTGCAGGACTAAGGCTCACACTGAAATCAGTTTGGAAGGGTTTTATGAAACCAAGCTTCTGTCACCAGTGCAGAAGGATCCTGTGGAGGTCCTGCTACTAGATACCAAGGAACGCCTGTCTGTAGAACTGCAGGACCGGCGTGCTCCTCTTGCTACAATGGAGAGCCTATCTGATAATGAATCCATCTATAGCTTTGATTCAAGGCGTTCCTCTGGTTTCCGTAGCATCCGTGGCTCACCCAGTCTCCATGCAGTCATGGAAAAAGATGAAACTCATTGTTTTTATATTGATCCAGCAATTCCTGAGGAGAACCCCTCTCTGAGCTCACGGACAGAACTGCTTGCTGCTGACAGCCTCTCCAAACACTCCCAGGAAACTCAACCTCCTGAGGGCCTGCAGAACAGTGGAGACACCACTCCTCAGCGGCGATGCAGCGATGAAGGCGCGGGTAGTGATACAGATCATATTTCCTTTACTCCAGAAGAATTGACCCTCCAAAATGGGAGGCTAAGTGATGCCCCCAGCCCACAAGTGTTGGAGTTTGCAGAGTTTATAGATAGTCTCTTTAACCTGGACAGCAAAAGCAGTTCCTTTCAGGACATTTACTGCATGATGGTATCGGACAGCACCAGTGATTTTGCTGAGATTCCCAAGTCAGTCAGTGACCAGGAGATCTTGCTAAGAGCACAGTATGAACCTAATTTAGTCCCAAAGCCCCCCAGGTTATTTGCAGGCTCAACAGATCCTTCCTCAGGCATATCTGTTTCCCCTTCTTTCCCTCTGAGTTCTTCTGGAGAGCTTATGGACCTCACTCCTACAGGCATGAGTAGCCAGGAATGCCTCACCACTAACAAAATCCGGACTTCCACTCCCACTGGAAATATGACCAGTCCTGCCAAACAAGAAGACCTTGTGATCTCAGCCCTCTAATATAGGAGAGAAGGTGCAGAATACCTAATCCTATAATAGTGAATCTTGGGACAGCACTTGGAGGAGCTGGTCTCTTGGCAAGTGAGAATGGGTGAAAATGCATGGGGAAGTATAGTTTCCCTTTCTGGGTGCTACACTAATGGCACTGCAAAGGATTTCAGCATGAAAGATGCCACATCATGGGTCATGTTCTTTAGTTAGGGAGAAAATCACTGCCTAATGCAGCTTGCTGCTTTTCAGGGTCTTGTTCACTGAAGTTAGATGATTGGTTTCCCTACCTCAGCATATTTCTTTAACAAGAAGGCAGACTCATTGCCTTTCCTGCTGAAATTATGAACGTACTGTCCATGGGCTACATAATTAGAGTAACTGAGGTCTGATAATGCCCAATTGTCATGTCAAAATCAAGGAAATTCTGACATTGGGCTTTATTGCACTAGTGTGTGATGTTTGATCCAAGTACCTGTTTATTGTTGTCACCATGATTTTTTTTAATGACATGCTCTCCCGTTTTATAGCCATTGACTGCGTTCCAGAGGAATGCAGCCTCCCGCTTTAAACCCTAACTGGGTGCAGTGAGAATTGGGATGGGGCAACCTGTGCTCCTCCGATTAGCTCTGTGTTCAGTGATATCTGCTCTTCTTCTAAGAAGAAAGAAAATACGTGTGCTGGAGAGTTGAAGGCCATTTCCATCTTTCATCACCCACTGGAGGGGTGAACAGTCTCTTGGGTCTCACATTGTTACACAGCTCCCCAAACCACTATGAAATAGAGACAATCTTGCTCTCTAGTATAATTGTCATCTTTATTTGCATGGATTAATTGGTCTAAACTAGCTTTTGTTCTTCAAGAAGCTTGCCTATGCCCTGCATTATTCCCCAAGTCCTTGAGTATGGAACTATTTTGTTCCCATTTATAATTGCAGTATAATATTGTCTGTCTCTGAATTCAGGAAAAAAGGGGCTTTTACTGCATATTGAAATCTCATGTATGTTTACAGATCTACTAAACATTTGGGAGGTAATCAGGAAATGTCTACTTTTGTGGGGAAAATGTGCTCTCTGCCCTTCCCATTTCTCTATTGACAAGGGGCCCTAACTCAGCCATGGAAAAAGTAAGAATAATTGCTATTACATATCCTTACTAGAAAGAAAGACTGGAATGTTGGCATTAACCCTCTGTGTAGTGCATCCTAACACCCAACTGAATATTACGGGCTTATGAATATGAGGTAACTGCACAACAGCAGCTCCTGAAATCGCATCTCAGCTATTAATCTGCAGTTTGGTGCTCACAATTATGCTTATGACAACAGGGTGACACTGTGTAAAATTGCAGGGATTTTCCAATGGAGAAATTGGGGATGAAATAACATTTATGTAGAAGTTAAACACTTGATCTACATGCATACAATAATCTTGTATTGTGCTAAAATATAACTGAATATGACTTTAATGCCACAGCAAATTTTTACCTTCAGACTAGTTCAATATACTGTGTCTGGGTTCTACAAAGTACGCTAGACTCATCTTACAGGTCATGAAGTATGTCCTTAGTAAATCCCTTAAGTTTGCAGCTGTAAGCCTCCAAGTAGGCTGTTAAAATAAAGTGGTTTTGAGGAATTTTTTAAGCTCCCATGAATGATTAGTATGCTATGTTATGCTTAGAAGTTGTACATTGTGAAGAAGATTGAGAAGAACTACACTTTGTGGTAACAGATAATGTAACCCTGCATATCTACTTGTAAACAGTCTCAGTAGGCTCAGTGAGACTTTTTCACAGGTAAGTGTGCTTAGAATTGCAGTCTTTAGTTCTAGGAGACTGTCTATATTCAAATTGCTGCCTTCTATACTTTTAACACTGCATTTATTTGAAATAAGTGCAATTTACTTGAAATAGGTCTGCAGTAAACTCATGTGACTCCCATTTGAGAAAATGCATTGAATTGGGCTGCAAAATTTGGTTATAAAATAGTATACTTACATTGCATTAGTGTAACTTATTTTACAACATGAAGGATACTGTTGAAACTGCGGCCTTTGGTATTTATGTGCTCTTAAGTGAGACAGGTTAACTCTAAAGTGATTATGCTTTGGAATTATAAATTTCTACACTTAACATAGTATTAATTTAATGATTTAGGGTTATTCCAGTTCGTTTTATAGCTTTGTTTTCAAATGTTCCTCTTTTTCCAAGAGTTCTTGTATCAGTCAAGAACAATTCTGCCCATCTTCAAGAAAAAAAATCTGTCTTTTGTACATAGTACAACACAATAGTAGTTGTTGTCACTCATTTAGATTATCATAAATATGTGCTACCCTAGGCTAACAAAATGTTGTTCTTCACTAAAGAAATAATAAGAATAATAAATAAATAATAAAATAAAATAAATCATAAATAGAAATAACATTGAGCTATTTAAGGTAAATTCAGATTTTCAAACATTTGGATATTTTTTGTGATGAAAGCACATAACAAATACTTTAATGAAATTTGGAAAAGAAGAGATATTGGTAAGTTTAAGGTGCAGGTCCTTATAATGAGTTAGACATTCCAGATTGAGTGGCTTAAGGATCTGAGGTAAACAATCTAAATTGGATGGTTTCAATCAATCACATAAAAGCAATGTTTTGTAAATTGAACTACCATATTTTTTGCACTATAAGATGCACCTGACCATAAGACGCACCTAGCTTTAGAGGAGGAAAACAAGAAAAAAAATCAGGTGAAGCCTAAGAGGATCACAATAGGTGTGCTCTCATGTGCCAGCTCTGCCTATTGACTCCTGCATTGCGGAAGAGACAGAAGAGATGAGGTTCAGCACTATAAAAGGACCCTGCTGTGACGGCCCAACTGCTATTCACCAAAGGACTGACACCAATGCACAGACATTTCCACCCACTTTGAGGAGCGGGGAGAGTGTGTCTTATGGAGCGAAAAATACGGTATATTCAGTTATTATGTTAGGGCTATAATGTCTGATTTGCAAAATCCAGAGTTGATGTTTCTGTTTTTGCTAATATCGAATGGTTATCTAATGATAGCCCTAGCTAATAATTAGCACCTAGAGAATTCTTTAAACATCAAAGCACTTTACAAATTAAATAATCTTCCCAAGCTAGGTCATGAGAACATCAGATGGGAAAAAGGGTTTATGTTTGTAATTGAAAGAAGCCTATCTGATCTATTATTTGAGATAGCGTTGTTAAAAAAAATACAGATGTTATATCATATAGGCTTTCTTGCTTAAAAGAATTATTTTAGAGTTAGAGAATATTGAAAACGATGAGGTAGCTGATGCAGCTTTGCTTGAAGAAGAATTTAATTTATTTTCCTGATGGTAGATCAAGCTATTGCACTACAATGTCACGTCTGACCTGAAGGCAACTTTATTGTTATTTCTTAGAGGTTGTTATTATTTTTATTTTAAAGTTGTTTGATAGTATCCTTAAGATTTTTCTTGCTCACTTTCTTGCTTGGGGCGGGAAGAATTTATCTGTGTCCCAGATTATTTGTATAATTTGGGGGGGTTTTGTTCAAAAAGAAAAAACACATTGCAGTGACTCATATTCTTCAACTAAGCTTGAGTGGCTATAGTAAAATGGGAGTTGACTGGGAACATTTAGTTGTGTCAGTTTACAACATTCCATTTGCCTATTATATTCTTATTTATCATATTATTTTAGCGCTAGTTGACTATTTTAATATAAATCTAAGTAGTATATGAACATATCCAGCAATATTAATATTCATTTCAACTGGAAATGATCTACAACTGACATAAATTCAGTGGCCTGTTGAGTTTCATGCCTAAATGTGGTACTACCTCTTTCATTCCTAGAAAATGCTACTGTTCACATGTATGCTCCCTCTACCTTGCTGAATTGGTTTTCATCATCTCCCTGCCCCCCCGCCCCCAGGTCTGAAAAATGCCACTCCATTTAGTTATAATCTATTATTGTTCTACATTAGTAGTTAATAGATCTTGAATGGAAATTATACCACTCGAATGAATGTTTGAAGCAGAGTTGGCCATCTGATTTACACTAGCAAGTTGGATTTGTGCACTTTAACAAATGTTAAATGCAAAAGTTCTTAAATATGCTGATGCTACTTTGCCAAAGATGCCCTCAAAATCTTTCAGCTGACATGTTATAAATTAGCACAGCTAGGCAATCTGGATCTTTTGCACAGCAATGTGGGTTAGGATTATACCTAATGGACAGAGATTCAAAACAAAAACAAAAAATAAAGTAAGTGGGGGCTCCAAACTGTCAGTCTCTGAATGTGGCTAAAGAATATATGTGACACATTTTTATCAATAGGTCTTTTATTGTGCTTAAATATAAGTGTATAACAAAACATATTTACAATAAAATTTCAATGACTGGTTAACCATCATCAAATATAATTGGAAACAAGTACATAAACTTGCATTTTGTTTAATTATTTGCACAGTTTAAAATAATTTATTGCTGTTCAGATGAATTAGTGGAAGGTTGTTTCCATTATAAATAACTGAAAGGGTGTTCTTAAAATTTACCCAGATCAATAGTATTTTTGTTAGTTCTTCTGAACATGTTTTTTCCAGACATAAATCCTATTATTGAAAGATTTGTGCCAAATGTGGAGAATGGAAACTTAATCTTATGGTAATTCATGTGGTTTTAAATATACATTGGTCTTTCCATAATTTTGTTCCTCTTCAATAATCTGCAGTTTTCATTTCCTGTTCTATAATTTTTCAAACATGTTGATTATAATTATATTTTATCAACTTTCCCCCTGTATGCTTGATGCTAAATACTCATTTTCTTTGCCATCATTTAATCTTAATTAGCACTGGAGTCATCTTATTGTTTCAAAAAACCTGTTTTCTCAGTTATCAAGCTTTCCCACATTTTAAAATTCAAAACTATCCATGGGAGTGCTATTGTTCCAAGCCTGTTTTCCAAGTATTCAAATTACCATATTCAAATTACAATTCTTCTTCCAAATAACACATCCTTTGTTCTTCAGATTGCCATGGGAAATACGATTACACAAGTGTTACTGAATAATGCCTTTGATGAGCACATAATTTCTCCTTCATGTAGTTTGAAAACCTCTGGGTCTTTTTTTGTGCAATTAATTGCCATTTCTCCTACTATGCAATTGTAATTTTGAACTATCAAAGATCAGCTTTAAAATATATATATATATATATATATATATATATATATATATATATATATACACATACATACATACATACATACATACATACATACATATGAGGAATGGCTACATGCTACAATCTTGCTTTGCCCTACAGTTTCAAGAAACCTGGTGTATTGTGTCTAGTTCAAAGCCAACATTCAAAAAGACTTCTCACTTCATAGGAAAAGTGATGGATGGCAACTAAAAAGTCCATCCTTAATATTGGTGGTGGTGGTGGTGGGTTATTACTATGTAATGTGTACTGCTAAAGATAAAATTGTACATAATGAGTCCTATGAAACAATCTTACATTTCCATAGTCCATTTTGCCCAGGACTGACTGTTCTGGACATGTTTTTCCAGTGCCTCAGGCAGAGGGTTTTGGATTTGTTGAAGATTGAATCAGGGATTTTATGGAGACAGATTATGTGTTCTACCATTGATTTATGGCTTTAACAATAACATTACTAGCAAAATAGTCCTTGATTAAAGCTTGCTCTAGGAAGTTTTAAATTTAAACTGAAAAATATCCAAATTATTTCACCAGAAAATATCCAACTGATGTTCCATAAATTTTAATTTATAATATTTAATTAAATCATATTTTATATTCAAGCCTCAAACCTGGGGCCTATTAAAACCTAGAAACGTGTTAACAGAAATATGCAAGATTTTTTTTGCACACTCTCTCTTGATGTCCTTTGTTTCTGAATTGTAATTATTTTTTTCTTTAGCACCTAGTATTAATGTTGGTATAGAAAGTGACATTGAAATATTGAAATGTCTGCCATGTGCTTGTTTTCTCAAAATGTACAAATTAAGATATCTTATTGAACATGGTGTATTCTCTTCTGATAATTGTTACCTTTAAATATTATTTGTATAAAATAATTCAGATTACTTGATCCAGAAGGCACATTGTTATGAAACCATCAGTCAATTGGGAAGATTTACACATGTGCAAATGCATGCACCCCATTAGAGACCTAGCCCGAAATGCTTTCACATCAAAGTGGTTGCCAAACTTTAAGGAATTGGAAGGCAGAGGTGGGAGAAGTTGGGGTAGGTTTTGTACGTAATTTCAGAGATGAGAAACTTCTAGAGAAGTGAAAATAAAACACTTTATTTGATTTCCTTTCTAATGGGGAATAGACAAAAAAGATCATCAGCTCTGGAATACATTTTCCACCCAAGGCAATAATAACATTGAATCACTGTATCCAAATCTGAACCGTATTATAGAAATGTGGTAGTTAAAAACTGGAGGCCAACCTTGCCCACTGAAACAGCTATACACGGCACCTTTCTGTGTTAATATCTTTATCTGGCTTCCTCAATTTAACAATCCTTTTAACCATGGGGTTTAATTCCAGGGTCAGCTAGTAACTTTTAGAACATATTGTGTAGGACATTCAAGCACATATTAAGTAATAAGTCCTCAGTTATCACAAGATTTTTTAAAACTAATATTGAACAATGGATTGTAAATAAAACATGCATGCTGCTAAATTTATCCCAGATTATTTCCTTAACTCAGCTAACATTAAAATAATTTTACATCTCTCCATTCAGTTTCTCTAATTTGCTTTGCTTCGGGTTATCTTGGCATCAGTAATTTAATTTTATATTTATAGTAATTTATAGTAATCCAATTTTATATTTAAGACACACTTCTCCTTTTTATTTTTTATAATTTTGTAATATTCACATTTTCCTATTTCAAACCACTTATTTCCTCAATTCTAGAAAATGCACAATTATTTGTACTTTTACACTGCTTCTGGTTAATCCCTGCGGAGTTTTATGTTAGTTTTATTTATTTAACTACATTTGTATTCTGCTGTGCTCCCCTCCCCATTGCTAACTTCAAATGATAAAGCACATATCTGACAAGAATAGTAGCATTCAAACCCATAGTAGCAGCGGTAAAAGTAGTAGTAGTAATAGATACAAAACAATCTTATATAAATAGCTGTTAAAAGCCAATCCCTGTTCTGATCTAGGCTTCACAAAATCACGAAACACTCCTTGTCCCAACAAATCCCTTTTTTATTAGGCTAATGTGAACTATCATTCACATCCAGCAAAGTCCCGGAAAACAGCCTTTCAAGGGTGAATAGCAACCTCAGACCTTATCAGGCTTGGAGAGTTCCAGGCCGATAGCTCCCAAGCGCAACACTGTACAAGAAAATACTTGGCAAGGAGTCTCTGAGATTCACGAACAAATCTTCACACTAATTAAATTAATTGTCTCCTGCAAACACCACTTCTCTTTCGCTTCTCTTTATGCCTGTACTTTATTCCTATACTGCCTGTATTTGTCAGTCTTTATAATATTTTCCTCATCTATGAGCTTCTGGCAAGTCTCTAAACAAGCCACCCAATAGACCACCACTTCACAGGCACAAACATTTTATGTGACAGTAACTGAAAATACAATCACAGTGCCTAGAAATAGGCTGTTTTTAATAGCATTGTGTCTTACATATTGCTTTTTCTGTGAAAATACCTTATTTTTGTAAAATAACTTTTGAGGTTCCACAAAGAACATGGATTAATTGGCTGTTTGGTTAAAACAGTTTCACTGTTAATTTGAAATTTATTTCATTATGAGTAAACCCGATCTGTTTAAAGAGGCACATTGTAGCAAGAGCAGCACATAGTAATATCATGCATCATAGAAAGCTGGTTATAGAACTCTTTAACATCAAACATAACATCGAAATCA